TGTTTTCTTGTTCATGTTTTTGTTTGTTGCGGTTGCACCCGATTCAAGAGCCGAATGGCTCACAGGGCTATACCAAATAAATGAACTATGAACTAGGAGGAGGATCGTGGGTTCGATCCTGACCCCGACGCCCGCATAATTGGAGTTTGTCGTGTTCGCTCTCCCCGTGGTCGCGTGGATTTTTCTGCGGGTCTTCCGGGGTTTTCCCCTCCATATTTAGAAACATACGTTTAGTATATTTGGCTGCTTTAACAATGTCCACGTGATAAGCCACTTCATTGAGCTATCATTCGTCGCTAGGTCGCTTCTGAAAAAGAGCTGCATAGCTGTTGGTCTTACCTGGTAAAATAAAAAAGTCGTTCAAGTCGTAGAACCCGAAGAAAACTTCACCTTGCCAACTACAGTATGACACTTAGTAACTGCCACGTTCTGACAATACCTCTCTATTCAACACCTACACCACCTGGCAAGCCCTGGCGGTGGTCACTCATCCAAGCACTAACCAGGCTCAACTTTGCTTAGATTTTGAGATCTGACGAGATCAGGCACATATGGCGAATTGGTTATAGCTTTCTGTATGCGGTGACCCGTTTTAAAATCAAAGTTATTCTCAATCACGACTCGGCCAATTGTGATTGGCTTAGCACAGGATCATCACCACCTTCATCGTAAGCCATTGATCAATCCACTGCTGGACGAAGGCCTAGCCAAGCCGTCACCATGTCACACGGTCCTGCGATGCCACACGCTGCGTTTATCGCTCCATCTCCGAACTGGATGTCCTCTAGAGCAATGCTCCCTCCGTCGGCTGCCACTCCATCGCTAGTCTCGACACAGCGGCTCATTGTCCCTTCCAGCAACGCGTTCTGCCCGGAGCTCGACACACTCCTTCTCTAAATAAAATGATAACTGGGGTGGAATTTATGAAAAGTATTTTATTGTTCCTTTCGAGCAAGGCATGTAAGGACACGGCATAAGCCAGGTGACAATGGTGATGTCTGTAAACATATCCCCCTGTTATCAACGCGACAGGCATTGACTCGTGAGCACACACCCAACAGACCCTTTGTAATGCGATGCTGTACAATAACACATGCGCATAATTTACAACGTATACTTAATTTAGTTTGTGTGTGTGTGGGCTCAAGCGATATAACGTTTTTTTTACGATATAATACAATGTGAACGTTCATAATACGGCGATTATCGCGATATAATTTCCCCATAACTCTGTATTATTGTTTTCCGAATTGTTATTATTGTTGTATTGCTTTTGTGCTTCGATGTACTTCAAGTACAAATCAAGTTCTTCAACTGCAGTTTGCTCGGCACAAGCCTGCCCCAAGTCTTCACAATCGGTGTGACTTTACAATGTATAATGGATGTAAATGCACACGATGTCAAATCACACAGGAACTAATCGAATGGACGATAAATAGCATTCATATTCTTGGTTCTTTCGGAAAGTCACGTAGAAGGGAAACAATAAAATAAAAATTCTTGCTGTGGTTTTCACACCTCATGATGATTGCTTGTGTTGCAGTCGAAACGTCGTGAGAATTTTATTGTTTTATATTTTTATTATTTTATTGTTTCCCTTCAACGTGACTCTACCGAAAGAACCAAGAGTATGAATCCCTCCATGCAGCAGGGAATTAAATAAGCAGCCGCAAACACAAAGGAATCTTTGCTCGAAGCCTCTCTCGCGCGTGCTTCCCGAAATGTGCGAGAAATATTCGCCGTGCCGCGCGAAGATTTATTAGCCTTACAAATAAATAAATAAAAGAACGTGGAAAATACGAGCACGCGATTAATAACATGGAGGTCAATGCACACATTACGCTCAAATACTGTTATAAATCAGCGATATTAGGACTGAAGTACATGACAGCAACATTGTATGGGAGGTCAAGCCTACTTTGAGACTGGAATGATGATTCTCAGGCCGCTACATTAATAACTCTGAGTTTGTGAATGACGCCCAGTATGATATATATTTGGCGAGTTGTAATTTGAGGGCAGCGGCGGCCTGAGAGTTTTATTCCCACAAGCCACCGCCCTCCCCCGCCTCCGCCACAACACCATCACACACGGGCCAGCATGGTGAAGTATGGTCAAATACTCCCCCCACGACTGACACGGCACGGGGAGGGGCCTTCGACGCGGCACTAAAACCGTCCACTCAAAGCGCCGCGCACTGCGATCAGCACTTGAAACGTATCCACGTTGAGAGTTACATCATGTATCATAATAATAATAATGATACAGAAAAAATAAATGCCCACGGATCTTCACAATAAGAAGGGGAAAAAAAACTATTACAAAGGAGCACCCATTTGTTAAAATATTAACAATGTGTCAAAATGTAGTTGGCTAATGTATCCCTGGCACGTTAGGCACGTAGGCTTCAGCGACCAACGTCACCCATGACAGATTTTTTTGGGGAGGTTAGATCGCGTAAATATGTGTCGTTAAACCCGCCACCACCCGACACAGCCAATTAGTAAGGTTTGTCAAATCCACAGCAACCACCATGTGGATTTGCTCTGCAGCACACCGGTGGGCTGTATTAGTAACAACAATCGGCACGTTCTGTGTACGTGACAAACCTTACTCATTTGCCGTGTCCTGCAGTGGCGGGTTTAACGACACATTTACATTAACGCCATCTAACCTAAACCGCCCCCTCCCTCTATAATGTATCCCTGGTAGTCGACCAAGTCAAAGCATAGCGGCGCACACGGCACCCACTGTGTTGCGAGTCCTTGGCAGCTGTCGTTGATGGAACATTCTTCGTGCGTGCGTGTGTTTAGTTGGCTGTCCTTCCCCCGCAAATCCGAACGAGTACGGTGCTAAAGAACTTCAACACACGTGCATCAACTCATTTCTGTAGAACTGCTTTTTTTTTTTGCGCGTGCGTTTCGTTCGTTGCGTTGTCCTTCCCCCGCACTTTCCGCACGCAGCACAGTTGGCTGCGTGCGGTGCGAAAGAAGTTTAACATACGGCAGTTCATTTCTTTAGCGGAGCTGTTCGTGTTGATTATTAGGACCTTAGCTCAAGCTGGTATTTTTGTTTTACCAGGTAAGGCCCACTGAGCTATGTAGCTCCTTTTCAGAAGCACCGTGGCCGCAAATGATAGCCCAACGAAGTGGCTTATCATATGGAAATGTATAGCAGCCAAATACTCTAAAACGCACGTCGAAAAAACCGGAGAACCCGGAGAAAAATCCACGTGACCACGAGGAGGGAGAACATGCAATCTCCAAATACACAGGTGTCGGTGGTCAGGATTCAACAAACGACCTCCAGTATACCTGGCGAGGTAGCTAACATCTCTTAGCCACCGTGGCGCCCACAGTGGAATTATTTTGCACACCCGATGCATTTTGTTTACGATTCACAGGGGCTGTTCGAGCTACTTGGGGGGGGGGGGGGGGGGGGGGAGTGCCTACGGTTTTTTGATTACCTCGCTTCTGCTTAGCGCACTGGCCACTGATCCACACACCTAGGGGGACAGCCTCACGTCGTCCACTGCACAATTGCGCACTGATCCCGATGCGACGCAGGATGAACCCCGTGTGGATCTCCGTTTTTTTTCTTTCTTTTTTTCCCCACACACTGGATGTCTGAAACGGCCATTCATCTCCGAGGCATTAAATCCCAGCGGGCTGTCCGTGGGGCAATTCCATCGCGGCGCTGTAACACCGCCGCGATGGATGCCGGGGGGTTTCACTTCGACTGCCGTCTGTCTGAGTCAGCGACCCAGATAGTATTTCCAGACCGGGCGCACTGCATCCAGTACACCTCTCAGTGAAGCAGAATCGGAATCTCTATTTACAGTGGAGGAATCCGATGAGCTGTGAAGCTCTTTTTCACAAACTTCCAGTATAGCTGTGGCTACTACTAGTCACGTGACTACTACAGTCTACCAGTGACACAGCATTTATTTCCGCACCCAGCACAGGACATCCATTATAACTCCTCGCTGAGGCTTGTGGTTACCCAGGCAGTCATGCGAATAACTCCATTCTACCAAGCGACCCAGAAATATGAAGGCCTGGAAAAGTTGAGGGCATCATGGGTGGCACAAACGAGGGGACGTCACAGTCCCTGCGACGCGACAGACGTGACGTGTTAGGCAAACGTCTCGCGGCCACGCGGTACAAATGAAAACTCCAGACGTGACACATCGACAGGGGAACAAATGAATTGTGTCGTGCGGGCAACTGTCGATCATCCGCCAACGATGCAGGTGGTCCGTATAACGCGTAAAAAATACCAAGGATCATGCAAAGCAGATGTAAATTAGGCCGTTAAAGATGTGGAATGCTTGGTCTTGCCTTCACGTCCTCACAATGTCTGCCTTCAGCTCGTTGGACGCCTCACTCCATCTGCTGTATCTCGTTACTTTTACAAAGCATGTCCTCGTGAGCTGCCATGGTTAACTACCTCGCTTGGTGTACAGGAGTTCGTGGGTTCGATCCCGATCCTGACACCTGCTGTATATTTGGAATTTGCACGTCTCTCTCTCTCTCCCCAAGGTCGCGCGGATTTTTCTCCGGGTCCTTCTGGTTTTCACCGCCACACATTGAGAATCGACGTCACGCGTTTAGAGTGTTGCCCGCCCAAGCGTATTTGAAAGTCCAGCTCGGACCACCGCCAAGGAGGGAGATCCGCACCGCTTTGTCATTCGTCGTTGATGAACATTCGACAGGAGAAATGTTGGAGGACACGCATGGGAAGGTGAACTAAACTATTAAATATATTTTTTTTTAACCAGGTAAGGGCCCACTGAGCTACGTAGCACTTTTTCGGGAGTGACCTGCCTATCACAAATGACAGCTCAACGAAGTCGCCTATCATCACGTCGAAATGTATCGCAGCCAAATACCCTAAACGCGTGACGTTGATTCTAAACGTCGAGGGGAAAAACCGGAGGACCCGGGGAAAAATCCACGCGACCACGGTGAGAGAGACACACAAACTCAAAATATACAGCAGCAGCAGGTGTCAAGGTCAGGATCGAACCCACGACCTCCTGAATACCAGGCGAGGTAGTTAACATCTCGCCACCGTGGCAACCCCTGCTTGCCGGTAACCGTCATTTTCCGTGGATGTCCACACATCCGGCCGTTTGAACCTGCTGTACCGCAGCCACGCTGCCAGTCGGACATCATAAATACGCGACGTTTCGCCGCACGCCGATTTCGACGACCGTTCGAAAACCGCGTCGGGCGAAAGAGAAAAAAAAAGCCCCCAAAAGAGACGGTGGCGAGCGTTGTCAGAAGTCGCGGAACGGCTCTCTGTCCTTCGCCGGGATGACGGCGGCGTCCTTCCAGTCCTCCTCGGGGTACGACTCAAAGTTGGAAATGTCCCCGGCGTGCGACACCTTGGGGATTATGGGAGGCTTCGACGGACGACGGACAACAGATGACAGCGGGCGCACACGAGGCAAAAAAATTAATGAAATCAAACGAAGATTCCCCCGTGTAGGCTCAACAGACCCGTTGGGGCAAGTGCCGTTTAGCGAGCAGCACCTACGAAGGCCGGCACAGCACACGTTGTATGTATGTTGAACTTCGTTTTCACCGTACGTAGCCAACCGTGCTAATCGGAGGCGCGGGTGGAGGAACAAATATCCAGGACTTAAGAGTTGACAGCACCGAGGGATGGGAGAAGGGAGTTTCAGGTTATCAGGGCAGCATAGAGGAATGAGCGACTTACCACTGGGCGAAGGCTGACTGATGTTTACACATCACGCCAAGTACTCATTTGAGGCCGGGTCGACCGAGGGGAAGCCCAGTACCTGTTCAGATTATCGTCATTTGGTGTTGGCCGTGAGCGGGAATTGAACTCGGGTCGTCGGGTTTGTAGCGCAGCGCGCTAATCGTTGCACTACCGCTACGCATACAACAAAGATCCCCCGTATAGCCTTAACGGGCTGTTGTTGCAAGTGCTGTTAGCGTGCACATGTGAAGGCCGGCACGGCACACGAGGAGGTGGGTGGCCAGCCCCACAACCCACGCAGACGCGCACACTCACACACTCACACACACACTCACTCGCACACACACTCGCACACACACTCGCACACTCACACACACACTCACTCGCACTCACTCACACACACTCACGGCACGAGGCGCGCGAGAGGAAACGGGTAAAGGGGAGCAGGTCGAGCGGGTACAAAAAAAACACACACATCGTGCGAGCATTCCAACTGCGTGTTCATTATGCCACACAGTTTGGGTGCCTCTTTGTGTCTAGCGGTTTGTCCGTGCGCAGAGAGACGGCGCGTGTCCACGCTGCAGCTAACGGGGAATTTCCTTCGCTGGCTGAGACCCTGGGGCCGCCAGCAGAGACGGGCGTTGCTGAAAGATATTCGGGGCGTGACTTCTTCATGCCCAACCCCTGGCTCTTTTTTTCTCCCCTCCGTCCTGGACAAATGGGCAGTGCAAACTGCCAGAGGAAGAAGTGACCTTAACAACGTTATTCCTAACGTTTCCACAGCTATTGGTATTTATTGGATTATTTGGGAGATTGTGATGGGACATCGCGATGGGAGATTACAACGGAGATTGTGATGGGAGATCGCGATGGGCGATTGTGATGGGAGATCGCGATGAGAGATTGTGATGGGTGATTGCGATGGAGCTTGTGATTGGAGATTACGATAGGAGATTGTGATGGGAGACACTCTTACCTTCAGCTTGCGCTGTGGAACCAGCGCCCAGTCGATGTGTTTAAACCACCGGTGCCTCTTAACATCTTCCGCCCCATCCTGAATAACCAAACCACATCGCACACGGCTCCTACATATCAATCGCAAATCAGTTTTTTTTTATTTTTGCCACTGAGCAATAAATGACCGCTCCAATGAAGGGAATCGTCCAAGTTTTTTTTGTTTATGGGAGCCGATAGGTTACACGGTTGCTACGTCTGCAAAATATTAATTCCGAAGGACGCCTTACAAGTTTTGAATGAAGCAACAAACACACTACAAAATATCGAGAACCAATCGCAGTCAAACTTGCCCAGAGCGGTGTCGTCTTTGGGCACGAGTGCCGTTAAATCTCTTTCAAAAAATAAATAATCTCAAAAAAACAAACATAAACAGTATCCTGATTTAAAGATTTCGTGACTGCAGGGATTCATATTCTTGGTTCTTTCGGTAAAGTCACGTGGAAGGGAAACAATAAAATAATAAAAATATAAAACAATCATTTTATTGTTTCCCTTCTACGTGACTTTAGCGAAAGAACCAAGAATACAACAGTATCCGTGTGCAAAGCTATCGCTTAAGAACACGAATGATACCCAAAGCGGATAAGAACATTTTTTTTTTTTACTTTATATACAATTGGGGAAAGAGATGATGGGGTCGGCTGATCGGGATAATGTCAGCCGACCATGCGTCTCAGTTGAGCCTCGCAAACATTTAGTAGCCTTTGGTGCTTTGAGGATCCGGTGACGTCTACACCTTTGCCCAGGGTCGGGTTGCCACCTGTCCTGCTTATACAAGGGTACATTGTTCATGTAGCTGTCCTCAGAAATGTGTAAGTGACGGTGGCGAGATGTTAACTGCCTCGCCTGGAACACAGGAGGTCGTGGGTTCGATCCCGACGCTGATGCCAATATATTTGGAGTTTGCGCGTCTGTCTCCCCGTGGTCCCGTGGATTTCCCTCCGGGTCCTCCGGGTTTTCTCCTTACGTTTAGAATAAACATCACGCGTTTAGAGTGTTTGGCTGCTATGAATGTCCACACGATGATAAGCCACTTGGTCGAGCTATCATTTGTGGCCAGGTCACTTATGAAAAAGAGTTATACAGCTCAGTGGGCTTTACCTGGTAAAATAACATTTAGTTTTACAATAGTTCAGTTTAGTTTAAAGTCTTCCTGGGACATTAACAGTCCTGGTTTTTGTCTGCTGTGTAACAATACGCTTCTTAACACAAAACAATAAAATTCGATGCAGATCTCCCCTCTTCCGGTATTGTGAGGTGTTCTCTCCTTTTTTCTCAATTAAAGTAGAATAATAAATAAATAAAAATGTTATATGCATAGTTTTTCATTCACTCTCACAGGAGAGAGAGACAGAATTGAATCTGAGGTTTGGGAAACCACAGACAAGCAGGAACGACAGCCAGATCCTGCGCCAATAATTATTGCCCAAGCTCTGTGGTCCTACACTTGGATTTCTTTCACCAACTCCAACACTCGATCCCCTTACGGACGGAAACCAACCCACTTGCTGCACTGACATCGTAACCTCGCCGTAAGCCAGGGGGTGGCAACATTGATGCCCGCCGGGTAGGGTAAGGCTGTCTCTGGTGCAGGCCAATCAGTTTCCAAGACAATGCCCATGTATAATTATCAGAGCATGGCTGTATATTTTGCCACAAGTACGTGTGGTTAATGCAGACTTGATGCCTTGCAATAGGTATATATTTGGTGTTTGGACAGCTTAACACCGCCTGTTTTATTGCCAGAAAGGGCGAAGCCTATTCTTATTTATTTTAAAAATATAATTTTGATGCTGGTAAACGAAAAAAAAAATGTCCCGTGGATATAGAGGGAGGGCGTTTCACGAACGAGCGCCCACGATTCACCACGGTGCTGAAGGACTAGGAGCAGCACTGCGGCTCGGCCAACCGGCACCTGGATTTTTTTGGCACCTCCGAGGTTTCAACAGAGGCCGAGCGGTTGGGAACCAGAACGGTGGCGGCGGTCGAGATCGGCCACAGAGACAAAGATCCCCCGCGTGTAGCCTTAACAGAATCGTTTTAACGCGATCTAACCCCCAAAAACACCTGTATTATGGATAACATCGGTCGCGAAAGCCTACGTGTTAAACTTAACAGAATGTTGGGGCAAGCGCTGTTAGCGAATAGCAGCACCTGTGAAGGCCGGCACTGTGGCACACGAGGTGGTGGGTGGCCGGCACCACGCCCGGCCGCATTCGTGTCCCCACCGGCGATGATTCGACACGCTACACCAGGTGCTTATTTTAGGCTGAGCCGACCTAGGGGAGGCCCATGACCAGTGCAGATAATCGTCACTGGTTGTTGGCGTTGGCCGCGAGCGGGAATCGAACTTGGGCGGCCGGGGGTTGGTAGCGCAGCGCGTTGACCGCTACTACACGACCGCTCCACCCCACACGGACGGGCGTGCCCACGGGCACACACGCACACACCTGTGCCGACTTGGCGACGCGGCTGCATACCGTACCTTCATGTTGCCCAGCCGTCTGGTGCGGTCCGAAGCCAGGAGCTTCTTAATCAGGTCCCTGTGATTTTCGCGGGGAGTTGGGAGTGGAAGGGGGGGGGGTGGTGTAAGAGGGGTGGAGGAGGAGGAGGAGGAGAGAGGTGTAAAAGTCAAAACGGCGGTGCGTGCCAGGTCAGTGCACGGGTGGCTCGCTCCCTGCCACGCATTCCTCGGCGTGTTTCTCCGGGGTAGCCTCGGAGCAGCTCCGACTGCAGAGGGAGAGTGCCCGCTCGCTGTACGTGTGTACGTGTGTACACGCACACACGGTGCAACCACTGGATGAGGGCTGCCCACCTCCTCTCCCCCCCCCCCCCCCCCCATCAAACAAGCTTGGGAATGAATGTACTTGTGCAATTTTAACTTTAATACTTTTTATTTTTAAGGGGCGCCACCGGGGTATGATTGTATCTTCCTGGTCTGGTATGCAGAAGGTCAGGGGTTCGATCCCAACCCCGACGCCTGTATACTTGGGAGTTTGCATGTTCTCTCCGTGGCCACGTGGAGCTATCATTTGTGGCCACGTGGCTTTTTGATAAATAAGCTATTAGGTCAGCGGGCTTTACGTGGTAAAATATATATCTTTTTAAAAAATATCTTTTAGTTTGCACTCCGATCGTGTTTTTGCATTTGTTGTTGTAACTTTCGCACCCCCCACCCCCTACTGGCCGTGATCATTTCCGTTGATTTCCGAGTCTGATTTTGTGCGAGCAAAAACATGTGTGTCGTGCACCCTCCCTCCCCCTCCACGCTTTTCTGGTCACTCGACCCGACCCAGAAATCGCTCGCGAATCGTGCTCGTGGTCGCGAGAGACTCCGCGTTTAATTGTTCGACCATACCTCACCGCGACAGGTCAGTATGGGTTCGGTGAAGGGACGGAGGGTTCTCAGGACAGGTTACAAATATCACTCAGAGTTAATGTTGAGCTGGGGGGGGGGGGGGCGGGGGCTCGCGAGGGAACGATGGCCATCGGTGTTTTTGACTGCTTAGGAAGTGCTTGATCCAGCGGTGGATTGATTGTGCATGATGACGATGGTGGTGATGAATTCCACGTGAAGGTGATGAAAATTTCTGAAGCAGTGGTAGTGGTGGTGGTAGCCTTGTGTATTTTATAATATCTCGCAACGGTGGGGAGATGTCAACTCCCTCGGACTAGTATGCAGGAGATCGTAGGTTCGATCCCGATCCCGACGCCTGCATGTTTGGAATTTGCGTGTTCTCTCTCTCCCCATAGCTGCCTAGATTTTTCTCCAGGTCCTCCGATTTTTCTCTCCACATTTACATTCAACACTCGCACATCCGATTGGCACGGCTGGATACCTACGGTGCGAAATAAGTTCAGCATACGTAGACGCATACGTAGAATTGACTGCTGTGAATGTCCACATGATCAGCTCCTTCGTTGGGCTATCATTTGTGATAGCCAGGCCGCTTCTGAGAAAGAGCCACACAGCTCGGTGAGCCTGACATGGTAAAATACAAAGACGTTGTTTAGTTTATGGCTTTCAACTGGATAACCTGCCCTGCTACAGCCTGCGACTGTTTAATATTATTCTCAGGTGGAAAATAAGTAAATCCATTTCATTGTCTTTCTCTGGGGTTTATGATGCGGTAAATCTGTTGCCAGCTGGTAACGTTGAGCGCCACCATGGTTCACGTGCAATACAAACAGATATTTTATAGCCCGTCTGGGAATTACGCAGCTACCAGAACTGTTATATTTTGTTTCGTCTTGAAAACGTTTACAATTTGTCACCGTGTGCCCACGCTCAGAGCAGAAATGCAATTCTGCTTTATTTTCTTTTACCATTTCAGTCTCAATATGAATACGGCCTTGATGCAATTGCATAGCACTACTGGATGACGCTATTCACCATACTTATTCATGATAATAATTTATATCTATGGCATATCAACATCGTTATCATCAATCCATCATCATCATCATCCTAACTATCATCCTCATCACCATTGTCAATTCATCATTAATCCAGTGTAATGTAAGCATATGGTGCTTCTGTCAGAATTGTGCAAATACAAGTTGAGCTCATATCCAAACCAGTAACGTGTCTCAGTGGTAGATTTGTGAGCTAGCAATGGGGCGGGTTGAGAGTTCAAATCCTGTTTGGGGTTTGTCTGACTCAGCCCAACATCCCTCCTGGGGTCAATAAATTAAGAACCAGTTTGCGGAGAAGTTGACAGTAGTTGCCCTATGGATCGACTCGCTCCCCACGACTGCAATGTGGAATTTCCACCACCGGCTCAGCAGGGGGGGCGGGCGGGGGGGGAGTAGCTGTACGCAGATGAATATCGCCTCAATAAATCACTCAGACTTTTTAATGGACTACATCCAACTTGTATCGTTTAGAATATCATTTCTCTCCCCCCGCCACCACCACCACCACCACCCCACCCACCCACGGCAATTGAATTAACCCAAACAAAGTCAGCGTGACACGTGCGCGGCGCCGGCGCTGTTGCGACCGTGCCAACGTCCCGCGGCCTCACTGCGTCGGCGATGGACGGGCAGTTGGCCGTCGGTGAGGGCGACGCGGTCACGTGGGGAGGCCCCCCACCCCCCTCCTCCCCCCCCCCACCTCCTCCTTCTGCGGACGGCATCAATGGGAGTGGAGCCGTGCGTGTCTCAACGACTCGGAGCCCGGGTGATGGCGCAGGAGAGGGGGGACGCGAGGTGGTCGGGCGGGTGGGCCAGCGTCACCACGCCCGGCCGCCTTCGTCAGGTGTGCATGCTCGGCCTTGTTGTTGGCGAGCAGCACCAACGGAGCCCGGCACTGGGGCCAGGCGAAATGGGGTCGACGGCCAGGCGCCATGCCCCCCCCCCCTCCCCCCCCCGCCATAGTTCAGACCGATACACAGAGCCTCTCTCTTGAGAGTTGGGCACATCTGTCGAGCACATGCGTGAGGAGGCGGGATTTGTGTTTGGCAAGTTCTCTCACGAGCGGTGCACCCTCGCAGTGACGTCACAATGCTGGGCGTTGATCGCGATATTCTTCAAGAATTCTTTCTTGTTTGACTTCTGCAGTAGCCCGTCGCTCGTTTCTGATGCTCATCTCGTTTGTTCCGTCCTCATTGCTCTATCGTCTGTCTTGTTTGTATGTGTGTGTGTGTGTTCTACGGAGCCATCCGTGCTGTTCGGAGATGTTTGTATTGTGTCTCGTTTGTATTGTGTATCTCGTTTGTATTGTGTATCTCGTTTGTATTGTTTGTCTCGTTTGTATCGTGTATCTCGTTTGTTTTGTTTGTATTGTTTGTCTCGTTTGTCTCGTTTGTCTCGTTTGTATTGTCTGTCTCGTTTGTATTGTCTGTCTCGTTTGTATTGTCTGTCTCGCTTGTATTGTCTGTCTCGCTTGTATTGTCTGTCTCGCTTGTATTGTCTGTCTCGCTTGTATTGTCTGTCTCGCTTGTATTGTCTGTCTCGCTTGTATTGTCTGTCTCGTTTGTATTGTTTGTCTCGTTTGTATTGTGTATCTCGTTTGTATTGTGTCTCGTTTGTATTGTCTCGTTTGTATTGTGTATCTCGTTTGTATTGTCTGTCTCGTTTGTATTGTCTGTCTCGTTTGTATTGTTTGTCTCGTCTCGTTTGTATTGTGTATCTCTTTTGTATTGTCTGTCTCGTTTGTATTGTTTGTCTCGTTTGTATTGTCTGTCTCGTTACTATCGTCTGTCTCGTTTGTATTGCGCAAATCGTTTGCAATGTCAATCTCGTCTGTATCCTTCTAATTTGATATTTCGTCACTAACATTGTCTCGTTTGTGTTGTCTGCCTCACTTTGTGTTGTGCTGTCTACCCTGTTCGTACTGCCGATCCATATGAAATATGCTCTGAGCGTCAAATTTGCATACAATTTCCATTTATAAAATGTATTATTAAACGCACAATGGAGGTGCAGCAGTGACAAGTGGTGGTCAATGCACTGCACCATGAACCCAGCAACCCTAAATCCCCAGCCAAGACAAGAGGATATAGGTATGTTGAATTTCCTTCGCACCGTACGTAACCAACCGTGTGCTAAGGGGATGTGCGGATATCTGAACCGGCCCTGGGCCTGGACCTTTACGTAGGAAGGATGTCATCAGCAGTGAAAGAACGGATTTGAATCGACGCATCATCCTTGAATTATTTGGTTGGGCGAATCGGCACCGCGTCTTCACGCGAGACCTGAGACCCATGGCTGGGACCCCCTGGTGCAATGGACCCCCTGGTGCAATGGACCCCCTGGTGCAATGGACCCCCTGGTGCAATGGACCCCCCTGGTGCAATGGACCGGAAATCGGCTAATGCACTCATTTTCAGAGGGGGGGGGGGGGGTGTGTCACTTTCGCCGATAAGACATAATCAGTGAGAGTGCCGCTACGCATTTGAAACCAGCGGGGGTTTGACAGCACGATGATGATGATGATGGGGGGGGGGGGGGTGGATGGGGAGTGGGTGGCCTACGTCAGGGGCCGCACTGAAGGCCACCTACGGCTGCCAGTGGCACGCGGTGGCCTTGCAACGAAGAGCGCCTGGGTCACGGGGCGCATGAGTGCCAACCACGATTGGTCAACGATCCGCCGCGTGAAAACGAGGGCACGATTCCACCCCGCGTTTAGTTTGTGGCGAAGGCCAGCACCCTCCCCCCCTCCACCCCCCTCGCGGAACATACCGTACCGCGCGTGCATTATTTATTATAGTCATTATCATGATTTTTTTTTTTTTAAAACCGCCCTGTCCAAACATCCACTTAAGTCATTATTATTTTTCTTGCTGTGGCTGGCGCATTGCCAAGAGCCCTCTGGGGGTGAATCGCGTTGATCGCCGACTGATGTACAAGAACGCATTAATTGCCATGGCACATTATGTCATGATTATGGCGCGGTTTTTCATTTTCTCTTTTTTTTTTTTTTTTTAAAGTCTTCGGCTTTGCGAACGACGATGGTGGAATATCACTCTGTGCCAGTGCACGGGTGGGCTGTCTCGGTGAGCGGCGCGCCAACACCGCGCGCGGTCCTACACGCACAGCTCCACACACACACACACAGCCTACCTCGCTCAACACACGGGGAGACAAAGGCAAACCAAAAAAGACTGCCCTCAGTGCTCCTCCAGAGCTTCGCCTGCCACTTCCCACCTCAGCCCGTCGATGGCTCTCAAAGCGCCACTTTCAAGCTACAACTATTTCAACTATTTGTTTCATTTAAATTGAATACATTAAGTCAGAAGGACTGAATGAACACCTCCCTCGCCTTAATTTAAACACAACTTTATTCTTCAGTGGAACTAAACGTATGCCTTTTTGGTTTAAAACTAAACGATTAAACTAAACTTTTTTTTTTTTTATCAGCTAAGGTCCATTGAGCTATATAGCTCTTATTCTTGGTTCTTTCGGTAAAGTCACGATGAAGGGAAACAATAAAATAATAAAATATATATAAAACAATACAATTCTCACGACGTTTCGACTGCAACACAAGCAGTCATCATCATCACGACGTTTCGACTGCAACACAAGCAGTCATGATGATGATGACTGCTTGTGTTGCAGTCGAAACGTCGTGAGAATTTTATTGTTTTATATATATTTTATTATTTTATTGTTTCCCTTCATCGTGACTTTACCGAAAGAACCAAGAATATGAATCACTGCAGTCACGAAAGCTTTAAATCTATATAGCTCTGTTTTAGGAAGTTATCTGGCCACAAATGATAGCTCATCGAAGTTGCTCATCACGTGGAAATTTACAGCAGCCAAATACTCGACACGCACGTTCATTCTAAATGTGGAATAAAAAACCGGTGGAACCAGAGAAAAATCCACGCGACCACTGGGTGAGAGAGAGAGAGAGACGCAAACTCCAAATATTAAGGTGTCAGGGTCGGGATCGAACCCACGACCTCCTGCATATCAGGTGAGGGAGTTAACACCTCGCCACCCCAGTAACACCACTGCTCGCTTTCATCCTTTGCCGGCAGCGTTGCAGATATTCACCACGGGAGGCCGCTTCTGAAGCTGTGACTCTGGGAAGAGACGCGAATAACGAGGGAAAGGATGGGGCCCTAAAGGAAATGGGCCGTACACTTCAGGGCCAGCCAAGCAAAGGGCAGGCAGGCGCGACGCACGAGCAGGGTGGGAACAGGCGGGCATCCCCGCGATGAGGCTGCGTCCATCGGCCAGGGAAGGAGCCCCCTGCGGGTGCCGTGGGTGTCCGGGCACCACCAGCGACGTCCGGACACGGCCAAGAGACACCCACTACAAGACGTGGATTTTTGTTTTTGGGATTGCGCATCTCGCCTCTCTTCAACACGGAGACACGGATGCCAGTTACGCCGAAGACGGACCATTTGAATACTGTACACAGCAGCAGCGCCGCTAACAGTGAAGCTCAGCAGCGAGTCGATAGCCAGTGGTTGGATAGATGTTATATTTACATCGTGCAAGAGAACTGCTCTTATCTGCAAGGAAGTTGGAAGGGTGGTTGGGGGGGGGGGGTGGGCGAACTTGACGGATCTTGTTTGCATTCTAGCCAATGACCACCGGGCTCCGATCACTATTGGGACACCCCCAACGTGCAGTGTTTCTGTCCCTACCATCGGCACGCACAGCCAGAGCCGTCAATGGGGGGAGGGGAAGGTACAGAATCATGTTTATTTATACTGCAGGAGGAATCCGATGAGCTATAAAGCTCTTTTTTCACAGATGTCCAGTAAGGGCATGGGGTCATAACAACACACAATATTAAAAAAACGATAGGAGTGCAAATTATAGAAAAGGTAAACAAATCATTGTAAAAATACTGTATATTACAAGTAAAACTAAACACTTTTTATCTTACCAGGTAAGGCCTACTGAGCCATTATCTGGGCACCGGAGCATATCACACCATGTTGGCCACCCTCGCCCGATGCCTTCAAACTGAACCAGAAGTAAGGACATCTAACACCGTGATATTGACCCGTGGGTCCCCCCCCTCCCCCCAACAAAGCACGAGGCCCGGGGCAGTTAACCCCGATTTCACCGCTGTGCACCCCGAGGGGCGTGGTACTCGGAGAGAGAAGGCCGAGAGTGGCAGCGAGCGGAGGCACTGACTTCGAGAAGAGGTCCAGCTGAGGCAGTCTTGGGAACTCCACTTTGCCGTCCAAGATCTTCTTGTAGATGTTGATGGGCACCTCGTCGTAAAACGGGGGGTACCTTGCCAAGCACGTGCACGCACGCGAATGAGGACAAACATTCCTCCTCGTTAGCCTACACAGGCTGCAAGTGCCGCTGTAAAGTGCCTACGAAGGCCGGCGCGGCACACACACACCAAGGGGGTGGGTGGCTAACACCACGCCCGGCCGTCTTTCTATCCCCAAATGGTGATGTTCACAAAATGCAACGGGTACTAATTTGAGGCCGAGTCAGCCCAGGAGAGACCGGTTATTGGTCGTGAGCAGGAATCGAACTCGGGTCCCGAGGTTTCATAGCGCACCGCCACTAACTGCTACCTCACCGTTCCCCAAAAAACATTAAAGAGACAAAGATTGCCCCTATAGCCTTAAGAGGCTGTTGGGGCAAATGCTGTTAGCGGGCACCTATGGAGGACGGCAAGGCACAAATGGACACATGCAAGAACGCATATACATACACACTTACAGACACACACACACACAGGTCACGTGAATTCACCCGCATTATCCCATTGATGCGAAAGTAAGAGATCGATGCACAGTTGCCCCGTGTTCAAAAACAACATTTATATTTAAACCTGCCGAGAGACCAATTAGCAGTGGGATTAGCGGTGCAGCCGTTAGCGGCGCAGCGGTAAGCGCGCCGCGCTCGGAACCTGGCTCTCCGAGTTCGACTCCCGGCCACGGCTGTATGCAATGGTGATATCAGAACTGACCGGTTGCGTAACTCGCGTGGGGGCAGGGGGTGCCTTTCCCCACCTCCCCCTACGGTGGCCAAAGCTACGAGTTGGGCCCCCGCCCTTGACAACCACCCTGATATATTTTTTTCAACGACAGTGTAAAAGAACCAAAAAAATGTGATGTGGTTAGGCAAGCGAAGCCGCGATACATAACAGCCTAGGTGCGACCGTGGGAGACAAATCAAACATTTCATGTAAGGGGGGGGGGGGCGGGGGGCAACCCCTTCGGCGATAAAAATGATAGAGGAGTTGTTAGTAAGTAAGGACATTTTCTACTTGCTTTTAATTTGACGTGTGTGCGGCAATTGCGCAGCCATCGATCGAGGTGCGATTTCGAACCGCGTTGTTAGTGATCGGCACCGCGCTCGCTGAAGGTGTCGATGCCTTCAGGGAAGTCGTGGACTCTGTACACGCAACTGCGCACAATTCTGTGAGTCACTTAGAACCGCTTTGTCGTTACTTATTGCCAATTATGGACTCAGACTATTGTCCTATCATCTGGTAGAGTCTCTGGCGCGTAATAATATGCTACACAGTGGCAGGTCGCAAAATGCCAATTTATCACGAATAAACCCCAATGATCCGATCGAAATGAGGGATTTCGATCAGATCATTGGGGGGGCACGTGCCTCCCCACCCCCCCCCCCCCGTGTTGGCGTATCCCCTGAGCTGATGTCGTGACTGCGCCACTGGAACTGATCCTGGAACTCTGATCACCAACCCGCAGTGACTCACGCAGCTCATAAAGCAATCTCAAACAAACTCCCACGGCTTCACGCGACTTGGGGAGGCCTTCGTCCAGAAGTGGGCTGACACACGGGCTGTCAACGGTTCCCAATTGGTCAACCTGATGCTCTGGTTCATGGCATGCGTCCACGTATGTTGAACTTTTTTGTTGCAGCGTACGTGGCCAAACCGTGCTGATCGGAGGTGCGAAACATTACATTTAAAAACCGTTTAATTCAACCCCGCAACTGCAAAGGCCATGATGAAGAAGACCCCATTAAGCTCAACATGTCATATGATCACACGTATTTTTATCACCTTCAGGCCAGTCATTTGGGTCGACGCACAAGGGGCAGTATTAACCGACTAACTTTGTTGTTGGATTCGAATTTTTTTTCGGGATGAGCAAAAACCGCCCGCTCTGACCCCGGGAATATATTTTTTTTTGTAGGAACGCGTGGGCGGCCGGCTGGTCGTCAGGTGACGGCTGGGCGAGACTTCAAACGATGGCATGAAAAGCTTTCAAGCAGCGGGGGGGGGGTGGGGTGGGTGGGGGGGTAGGGGGGTGGGGGTTGTCTAGCCATAGAGGGTTTGGGGGCTAGCAGGTGGAGGAGCGGCTCGGGTCGCGACGCTTTGGGGTTGCCTGCGTCACTGGACGTCTGTAAAGAAAAAACAGTGCTCCATAGCTCATCGGATTCATGGAATCCAGTCGAAATACAGATTCCGATTGATTCCAACAACCTGTGGTGCCCATCGCCCCCACACAAAGACAAGTATTCCCCGTATGGCCTGTACCAGAGTGTTAGAGCAAGTGCTGTTCGCAAGTAACGCCTATGAAGATTGGCACGGGCACACGAGGGCGTGGGTGGCCAGCACCACGCCCGGCCACCTGTCTTCCCAGTGGCGATGTTTACACACCGCACCAGGTACTCATTTGAGGCCGAGTCGACCTAGGGGAGGCCCATGACCGGTGCAGATAATCGGCACTTGGTGTTGGCCGTGAGCGGGAATCAAAGTCGGGTCACCGGGGTTCACTACCGTTTCCCAAAGACAAAGATCCCCCATATAAGCCTACACAGGCTGTTGGGGCAACTGCTAGGGAGCGCCTGTGAAGGCCGACACTTCGCCCGACGGTGCAGCGTCGTCAGCGCCGTGCCCGGCCGCCTTTGTTTTCCCCTCCAGCGCCGAGATATGGCAGGCCGAGCTGACATAGGGATGGGCCCGAGAGCGCTTCGGATATTCGCCAAAACGATCACTGGCCATGAGCGGCAGTGTAGCTCGCCTAACCGCTGCACGAACCAGCTCCCCAGACGGGCCGGCAGACGCGGGACGGGCGGGTTAAGCGGGCAGTGGGTCCCGGTGCGTTCACAGGTGCGGGATGTTGACCCTGCGCTGTGTTTATTTATTTGGGTCGGGCGCTGTTTGGTCCACACCCTGTATACATGGGCAACGCCACACACGCGGAGGGGTGGGGGTGGGTTTGCTGGAACGTGCTGAGCGCCCGTGCACAGTCGCGCGATTGTGCACGGGCTCCTTGGCATTAGCCTCGCTGCTCGTTTTCCAGTCTCTCTGCTACGACTCACCCCGCACCAGTCCGGGGTGGCGACTTTCTCATCGCCACACACGGAAGAAGGTGCTACGCCTCGTGTCTCGTTACACTCGGGCAGTGGCACACCGTCCGCGCAATTTGTATAACTTCACCATCGCGACGCTCAGGATTACTTTGAGTGACGTATGCATGTATGTATGTACAGTATGTCGAACTTCTTTCGCACCGAAGGTATCCAACCACGCTAATCGGAGGTGCGGGGGGGAAGGGCAACAAACTAAACACGAAAGCAGTTAATAATACCGAAACCTTTTTTTTTACAAGGATTCATGTCTGCATTAACCACAATACCTGCAGTCAAAATGCAAACAAAAAACACTGATAATATATGCATTGTCCTTGAAACTGATTGGTCCACACCAGAGACGGCTTTCTTTCGAGCCTAGTCTCAATTGGTGCTAGACCAGACGACGCCAAAAGGCGTACAGCTCAAAGACAATGCCACTATCAAAGTAATGAGGGCCGATGCAGATGCAAAGGAGGTCCAATGATGACGAAGGCAACTCTAAAAAAGAAAATAAATGCGTTTTCAATCTAAATTTGAAAGTGCATGGCTCCAGTGGCTTCCCAATATCGGTAGGAAGAGCGTTCCAGACGGCCGAAGAGGCGCATCTGAAAGCGAGCGCGTTTACCGTGCATAATGCTGCGTCGAACTGGCGACGGATGGTGCTCGCACGGACGCACCTCTTCATCTCCCTGCGCGAGATATTTTGTTACGCCTTCCTAGCGAGGGCGGCAACATTTCGAAATCTGGCAGCGTAGCGCCACTTAAATCGCCGCGGAATATTAACGCGCACGGCGCGCGCCCAGCAACATGAGCGAACTGAGAAAACCGAGCGAATCCGTTGGACGCCGAGCAGAGCAAGGGGGGCCCTGGGGTCCCACGACAAAATAAATAAATAAATGGCGGGTGCATCGAACATCGGCTGGGATTCGAATCTAATCAACACAACGAGAAACGTAACGTACACCAGCCAATCAGACTCTCTCATCCGCCACCTTGTCTGGGTCTCTTTTCATCGCGTTACATCTCGATCTTTACACCCCGATGCACTCCGCTACTCCCGACGCGGTTGCCTGGATTGACCACCAGAACGTGAAGTTGCAGTTGCTCTGTATCTCTGCCGCTGTCATCCGACTAAGATTTCCTTCGTCGGAAGGGGGTGGGGGGTCGTCCTCCTCCGCCCTCCTCTGCCCCACACCACCTCCCTCCACCACCCCCCCAAAAAAGTTCACTAAGTTCTACCAAATGGGGCCCGAACCCTCCAACGTGCCCCCAGCTCCCATCGTCACAAGGTGCCCAAACATATCGGGGCGCCCTCGCTCACACGCAGCGAGGGAATTTGTCGACCTGTCCCCTCGAACGCGTGCCAAGAAAGTGAAAAACCGCCCTCCCGAACAACGCTCGCCTCTCAGCGAAGAGGTTCCCGAGAGGTACGGACGTTTACAGCGGTTGGGCTGGACCCCGTGTGTGTATGTGTGTGTGTATGTGTGTATGTATGATGTTGAACCTCTTTTGCACCGTACGTAGCCAACCGCGTGAATCGGAGGTGCGGAGGAAGGAACACAAAGCAAACACAAAAAAGCAATTCGAAAAAAAAAGAGTTTTCAATCGAGATGATTTAAAAAGTGCGCAGCTTTCAGCGGGTTCCTAATATCAGAAGGAAGAGCGTTCTAGACGGCCGCAGAAGCGCATCCGAGATGACCGTCTTTATTCGACGGTTAGCCAAAAGCCACTGCGAGGATGACCGGAGTTCGCCAAGAGGTTCATGCTCCTTGACGAGATCGGCAAAGTATTCGGGCGAATTTGTGTCGGGCACTTTGCGTGCAACGAGTTGCGACCTCGCAACGCATTCGTTCGGCAACCGGAACCCAACCCAGCTCGACGAGCAACTGGACGGACACGGTCGGTTCTTGCGGTACCCCGTCAACGACGCGTGCCGGAGAAAATCTTGTACAACACTCCACGGTCGCCGATTCGGTGGCACAGCCTCATTTGTACAATTACTTTGACACACACTGCCGTCAATTAATTTCTTTCTGTGCAGGGATCGAGTGTTAATCCCCCCCCCCCCTCACCCTCACACGTGTGTTTTCATCCGGGTACCCTGGCATGCACCCACATGTATAAAATGTAATCAATGGAGTTGGCCAAACATCCTAATAGAGGATCACAGAGCTTGGGCAATTGTTAGCACCGTTTCCGCCTGTATGTGGTATCCCACATCTCTGAATCATTCGCTCTCCGTCTCTGCGAGTGAATGAAAACTACGCGGAGCGTTACAGATTACGGTAACAATTTATTTATTATTATTACTTGGCCGTGGTCCGAGAGGCAATTAGAAAAATCATCTCTGCTCACGCGCCCGGAATAATCAATGCTGAAAAGCACAGCGGTCGTTTGGGGTTAAAAAAAAACACGTGGGAGAATCAAATCCCGGAGTCTGCATTCACTTTTATCACATTAACCCAGCTGCCTAAAGTCTCGGGAATCCGTCATGCCTCCAACACATTTTTCAGCCAAGAAAGACACGGGGAGCCGATGGACAGAGGATACGTGGTCATCCTGCAATGTCCGTGATGGAAGTCAAGCACCGACTTGTCCAACCAAGAAACGGCCCGGCTTCTCCTGATATAAGGACACTTAGCCACGAGAGACATGTACGTGGGAGACGCAGCTCCGCCCTCTGACTGGGGAGACAAAATATGGCCGGGCCGTGCTGCTGACCACACTGCCCACTCATGCGCTGTGCCGGTCTTCATAGGTGCTCGCAAATTGGCACTTGCCCCAAGAAGTCTATGACACGGGGGATCTTTGCGGACATCGCACAGAGTTCACAAGCCTTTTGCGTCGATTAAACGGTGCCATCAAATAAACATTTTATCTCTCGTACTTCAGGGCAGGCAGATTTTCTTTTTTACACGTGTCAACGTATTGGCGGTACAACCTGTGGGCGGTATAAACAAATAAATCGCAATCATTATTTGTTTTCCCGCTATTCGCAAACCCGGGTCAGAAAATATCGTCAAAATCGGTTCTCGTGATGTCTAAGCAGTCAGAATGTTGCGAGCAGCTAAATACGAAGCTTCACAGTCCGTTGCTGTATAGCACCCAGCGTGATGACGATTGGCTGGCTCCATGTTCCAAAAGCAGATTTGACTCGTGCCTTATGACTTGGTGGAACGGTTCCCTGAATCAACGGACCCAAATCAACGTTAAATATCGACCTTTTTTTTTTAGCAAGCCTCAATCGACTGAATAAACCTTCCAATCGCGTCAAACTTAGGTGATAGAATCAATCGAAGAATAATAAACATTTGCCGATTCAAGTTTTTTTATTGCAGACCGTTGTACGAGGACCGCTGTGTTATGCTGCACCGGTGTACCACCAAAGTCAACATTAGGAGGTCAGCTGTTTTCTCACGACTGCCACTTGCATTTGGGGCACCGGTACACTCGGCGTGGCGGCGAGTCACACGGCACCCACCGGAGCAGCCACGCGCAGGGGACATGGCCTCGGCTAAAGTACACGCAAGACCATTTGAAAGTGCCGCAAGCAAATATTTGAACCTCAAAACAATGTAACCTTTCAACTTGTGCTGAAACTAAGTTTTTCAAATGTCGCGAAACTGTGGTCCCAACTCGGTCACCAATGGCTGCACTCTAAAACACTAAACTATTTTTAATATTATTGGTTCCTTCGGTAAAGTCACGTAGATAGAAAACAAAAATTAAAATTTAAAGTAAAAACCCACGACGTTTCGATCGCAACACAAGCGGTCTTCTTCTTCTTGTTCAGACCGATTGTGTTGCGATCGAAATGTCGTGGGTTTTTTTGCTTTTAATTTAGATTTTTGTTTTCTATCTACGTTCCTTTACCGAAAGAACCAAGAGTATAAATTCCTGCGGTCACAATCACAAATGATCGCTCAACGAAGTTGGCTATCATCACGTGGAAATGTTACAGCAGCGAAACTCTGAACGCGCGATGTTGATTCCAATTGCGGAGGGAAAGACCAGAGGCCACCGGAGAAAAATCCACGCGACTTACGGCGAGAGAGAGAGAGAGACACACGCACACGTCCAAATATACGGCACGACCTCCCGTATACCAGGCGAGGCAGTTAACATTCGCCACCGTGGCTCCCCCACTTGATTGGGAAACATAGCGATTGTTGCTCCCAACTGCGAAAGCTCTGCAGGACCCTCCTGCGATGGAACCTTGAGACCCAGTTAGGATTTATTGGGTACACAAGCGGAATCACAATAAAGATAATACATTAAAGTAGAGCACGCTAAACATGATATACACAGCCACTTCCGTGCCCTCGTCCAGGAGGCCGCTTTCCTTCTTTTCTACAGTTACATGCTAATTTCTCATATTAACATCATGCTAATTTATCACATTAACGTCACTAGCCCCGGCCATATTCTTGGTTCTTTCGGTAAAAGACTTTACCGAAAGAACCAAGAATATGAATCCCTGCAGTCACGAAAGCTTGAAATCAAAATTTAGCCCCGGTCACTTCTTTATGACCCTTGGGCTACACCCATTTCAAATCTTTTAACAACAGTCTGACTCAGCAGCAGGCCCACGCTTTCCCACCTGATGACGGACGTTTGCATTGCGCCCGAAACGTCGTTATTTATTTAATTTTTCTACCTACGTGACTTTACCGAAAGAACCAAAGAGTATGGATTCCTGCAGTCACGAAAGCTTCAAATCAAGATTAGGGTATACTAAACATATGATAGCTGACTGCGGTCACTCTGCGGGACACGGAGCTCCTCAGAGCTCTCCATTGGACCAAGCCACAGCAGAAAGTGACCTCTTATACGCACGTGGCAATGAGCACAGATCCGCGCGTGTCCATCAACGACGGTGCCATTAGCGTGATGAGCAACGGATGCCGTGCACCTGACCCGAGACGACCCCGTGTGTGACCGCTCTCCCATGCGTTGTCTGGGAGTCATTCCACGTGGCGTGCTGCACGACGTTTCGCAACACGTGCAGGGAGCTTCTTCAGGACCTGAAGTCAGTCCGAGCTCCAATAGAGCACACGGCAGCCACTGTCGACAGTCTTGGGCTGTTTATTTATAAAAAAAAATACCTCCTTAGCTCAGTGGGCCTTGTGTAACTCAATGTACTCTATGTATCTTCATGCAACTCGATGTAACTCTATGCATCTCTGTGAATTTTTCTCCAGGTCCTCCGGTTTTTCCCGTTCAACATTTAGAATCAACATGCATTTAAAGTATTAGCACTGCTTATACATTTCCACGCGATAAGTCACTTTGTTGATCTATCATTTGTGGCCTGGTCGCTTCTGAAAAATAAGCAAATAGCTCACTGGGCTTTACCTGGTAAGATAAAAAAAAAACAGTTCATAGTTTAGCATTCTATGTATCTGAATGTAACTTGTTTCGACTGCAATGTCATGGCTGTTGCTGCCAATGCTCTTGAGCTGCGATAGTCCATGTAACAGTGCCGCTTAGCTCAATGGGACCTTGCCCGCTTGAAAGAAAAGTCTGAAATGGAAAGATCATTATTATTCTCATTATCATCATCACTATCATAGTAACTTGTTCTATATAATCGACTAACAGGGCACGGATTGTCATCGTCGGGAATGGGGGGGGGGGTCCCTCACCCGCACAGCATCTCGAAGATGAGCACTCCCAGCGCCCACCAGTCCACACCCTTCCCGTAGCCCTTGCTCTGAATGATCTCGGGCGCCAGGTACTCCGGGGTGCCACACATCGTCCAGGTCCTGTATGGCACGCAAGGGGGGACGGGGGGGCAAGGGTGGCGGCGGGGGCAGATGAAGGGAGGTGAGATGCTGCTAAATTGAATGGGCACGTTGGAAATCGTTACATAAATCCATGAGCATGCACACATTTTCCTAGCCTTACTGTTAGAATTGTTTTAATGTTGTTTGTATCGTGTCTCGTTAATTTTACGTCTCATTCCGACAGTTTCCCCTTGCTCTGCTAATCTAAATGTAACGTTGAACGCAACTCGCCTAAATTAGGCGCAATGAGTTGTCTCGCGCGCGGTACCATGCCCGTCTCCTGAGCAAATGATAACCAATTTTTGTTTATTCGTGAATCTACGCATCGTGTCATTTAGGCATTTAGGTCCGATAGGTCTGGCCTGAACATACATGAATATCTGCGAAAACAACATTTTTCGTGAGTATGTTGAACTTTTGATTTAAAGCTTTCGTGACTGCAGTAATTCATATTCTTAGCTCTTTCGGTAAAGTCACGTTGAAGGGAAACAATAAAATAATAAAATATATAAAACAATAAAAATTCTCGCGACGTTTCGACCATAACGCAAACTGTCATCATCAGGTGTGAAAAGCAACGGCAAGAAACTTCTTTCAAATGTTTCTTGCCGTTGCTTTTCACACCTGATGATGACCGTTTGCGTTATGGTCGAAACGTCGTGAGAAATTGTATTGTTTTATATATATTTTATTATTTTAGTGTTTCCCTTCAACGTGACTTTACCGAAAGAGCTAAGAATATGTTGAACTTCTTTCGCACCCTACGTAGCCAACCGTGCAAATCGAAAGTGGCCGGCCCTGCTTGCATTGCTGCTTCAATGGATCAAACAAATTCCGTACAGAAGGGTTAAAATAAATAAATTTAAACGTAACCTTTTGGCTGACACAGCCTTCATCATCATGCGACATTTCCCATCGGCAAAAAAACAGACATTCACCACTTGTGTAACCATGGCATTCAAGAAACTGCCAAGTGCATATTGTCAAATGAGTGTATTAAGTTACATTTCCTTTGAAACATGCCAGTCGGTAATACAAAATTAACCGAGGGTTCACTGCATAATTCAGAGAATCCATCTTCTGGGTTCTTTCGGTAAAGTCACCACGTAGAATGGAAATAAAATAATAAAAATAAAACATAATAAAATAAAATTCTCACGACGTTTCGGGTCACAACAAGTAGCCTTTTTCAGGTGAGGAAACAGGTCCGTCCAGAAGACAGCGCTTGAGTGTCACTCAAGAAGGCTACTTGTGTTGTGGCCGAAACGTCGTGAGAATTTTATTTAGTTTTATTTTTATTATTTTATTATTTCCATTCTACGTGACTTTACCGAAAGAACCAAGAAGATTAATCCCTGCAGTCACGAAAAATTTAAATCGAAATCTGAGAATCCAGTCGCAGACTTGTGAACATGTACAATGTTTCAGCCTATACTTAACCTGGATGGTAACTGATCTACGCCTTAAGACTTTATTTCAATAGGTAACGCGCCGTTGAGCTAAGCAGCTATGTTACAAGGATGACAACAGCCCAAGGCCATCAGCAGTGGTGGCAGTTACAGGGCATCGCCAGGCCGGAATGTGCAATCTAAGAAGAGCAACCAAATATTTCTGAGTTCTTGAAAGCTAAGTAGAGCTGATCCTGGTTAGTACCAGGATGGGTGACCACCATAAATGGAAACAGGTGCTGTTCAAAAGAGCTTAATAGCTCATCGGATTCCTCTAGTATAAACAGATATTCTGATTACGATTCGTGTTGTGGTCAGAAGCGGGCAGTACGCTGTTGTACTGTACTACGATACAATATCTATGCCCCCCCCATCTCGCCACGGCCATCTTCCAAAAACCTTACTGATCAATTTCGGATAACCCTCACAATGGCGTAGGGCTGCCCTCATCCAGCAGCGGATTGACAAAAGGACTGGACATACACACGCCTGCTTAGTTTGAACTACTAGCATTCTGTGTGTTCATGACAAGTGCACTGCAAACAATAATGATGTCCAAGTGTAGATGTCAACTGGAAGTGCACTTAAAGTGTCAACATTCTATCACTGTCAATTTTACAAAGGCCCTATTATGCTATCATTGTCAACTAGAAAGTTCATTGAGATACGCTGACATTCTATCAGTCTGCGTACACGTACAGCCCTCTGTCAATCCCCTGGTTGGATGTAGCTCTTGTCAGCACCGTGCAGTTCATGGTGATTTTTTGCTGGGCAAACCAATGGTTTTTGATTCTCAGAGCTCGCTTTAAGCCAAATTGTGCGACAAAGCCACATTTTTCCACGTAACCTTTATTTTTTGTGCTGCCGTCGGTGACCTGGTTCGAGCTTATCCACGGGGCAACCGAAGCCAAGGATCTCCAGCAGTGAAGTCGTGGGCCACATGACATGAAGTTGCACGATGTGAAGTCGTGGGTTGTATGAAATTACGTTGAATGGAGTTAACTCACGAGCCGTATGAAGTGGAGTTGCATGAGATGAAGTCGTGGGTTGCATGAAACGAAGTTGCATGAGATGAAGTCGTGGGTTGCATGAAATTAAGTTGCATGGAATTAATTAATGATCCATATGAAACGAAGACGCACGAAAATGAAGGTCGCATGAAATTAATTCACGAGCCGTATAAAATGAAGGAGTATGAAATTAATTCATAGGCCGTCTGAAACGAAGTCGCGTGAAACAAAGTCGCGGGCCCCATGGAACAAAGCTGCGTGAAAATAAAGTTGCGCGAAACGCATTCACGAGCCATGTAAAACGAAGGCGTATTCAATGAATCCGCTTTGCCCACCACCCCGGTCCCACCCCGCGCGCACGCGAACCCGTCGCCCCCTGCGCGGCCACGCGCCTGTCCTGGAGGATCTTGGCGAACCCGAAGTCGGTGAGCTTGACGTGCCCGTCGCGGTCGAGCAGCACGTTCTCGGGCTTGAGGTCGCGGTAGACGACGGTGCGCGAGTGCAGGTAGGCAAGCGCGCACGTGATCTCGGCGGCGAAGAAAGCGGCGCGCGACGCCGCAAAGCGCCCGTCCGTGCGCAGGTAGGTGAAGAGCTCGCCGCCCGACACGAACTCCATGAGCATGTAGAGGAAGCGCTCGTCGTGGTGCGTCCAGAACCTGCGTCCGTTAAAACGGCGCTCTCGCACCAGCGGTACACGTTCAACTTCTTTGGCAGCGTACGTAAGCCGGCCGCGCTAAATCGGAGGTGCGGGAGACGGACGGACGGACGGACGACGACGACGACGACGCTAAGCACACGCCAAAATTATTAAAAAAAAAAAATCTGTTCTCAAGATATTCGTTTTCAAGCGAGATTCAAAACACAAAAAGCGCTTTGAGCAACCGGCGTCTGACCAGCCTGGCGAATTATGGTCAAATCGTCCTCATGGACTACGTGTGGTGTGCGAAGGCCCTCTACCAACAGTGCATTGGTAGTGCACTTTGTTAGACGACTTGTTTTTGTTTGACCCGCCCCTGACTGGCCATCTGAGAAAAAGTAGCCTCGTAGCTCAGCGGATTCCTCCAGTCTAAATAAAGATTCCGATTCCAATTCTATACGGGGGATCTGTGTCTGTGTGTGTGTGTATTGGAGGAAGTAGCCGCTCCCTTGTCAGTGCCTTGCCTGATGTGCCATCTGTTGAGGAAGTGCAAAGGGAGACAAAGGAGGCTGGGGCATGGTGTTGGCGACCCCCACCCTCTTGGCATGCTGTACCAGCCTGCAAAGGTGCTTGCTAACAGCACTTGCTACAGCAGTCTCGTAAAGGCTTCGTGGGGGAAGGGGGGGATGTTTGTCATCATACCGTACACTAGAGATTTATTTGTAATATTAAACTACCAAATTTCTGGGAGGCTCCACCGGGACATCCTCATATGGCATGCTGCTCGTGGGGATTTTTGTTGACCATACTTCACCATTGTCGTTCAATTCGGCTTGATAAAGAAGGTCGTGTTGCCCGGACCGGTATAGGTATCACTCATCACTGGTGTGAGCCATGCCTGGGAAACTAATCTAAACTAAACCATTTTTTTACTTAAAGCTTTCGTGACTGCAGTAATTCATATTCTTAGCTCTTTCGGTAAAGTCACGTTGAAGGGAAACAATAAAATAATATAAAATATATATAAAACAATAAAAATTATCACGACGTTATGGTCGAAACGTCGTGAGAATTTTTATTGTTTTATATATATTTTATTATTTTATTGTTTCCCTTCAACGTGACTTTACCGAAAGAGCTTAGAATATAAACCATTTTTATTTTACAATGTAAGGCCCGCTTTAGCTATGTAGCTCTTTTTCAGAAGCAACACAGGCCACAAATGATAGCTCAACGAAGTAGCTTGTCACGTGGAAATGTATAGCAGCCAACTACTCCAAACGCGTGACGCCGATTCTAAATGTGGAGGGGGAAAAAAAAATCCACGTGGCCATGGGGTAAACACGCAAACTCAAAATATACAGCAGGCCATCAGAAGCGGGGATCGGGTCCACGACCTCCTACATACCACACGAGGTAGTTAACATCTGGCCACCGCGGCGTCGAATAGAATCCTGAACACCGGGTACACCATGGCGTCCCAGTGCTCCCGCCCCAACGCCCGCGGTAAAGGACAACGAATCACCAAGCAGCCGAGCAGCATGTCGGTCTGGGGTGTAAATGATTCCCCCACCCCCCCCCCCTCGGGTGACACGTGCACGGCACGCGATGTCGTCGCAATGGGCCAAGGTGCCCGCGTAGCCCTCGATAGCAACCCATCTTTGTGCTTCTTTCTGGGTTACCCCACGTTCGATATTCCTTTCGAGAGTTACCGTGCCCTCCCGGTACAGACGGCTGGACAGACGGACAGGAGACACACGGGCAGAGGACAAACGAACGGACAGACAGAGGGACGGACGGGTGGATAGGACAAACGACGGACGGACGGACGGACGTACGCCGACAGGATGACGGACAGGGCTGACGCGTCGGCGGTGCTTGCGAGTGTCTCACAGCTGGATGATGAACGGGTGGGGCTGCACGTCCCGGAGGATGTCCTTCTCGCTCTGGACGTGTCGCTCCTGCTTGAGCCGCAGCACGTCCGCAATGCTCATCACCTTGAGCGCGTAGAACGCCGCGCTGTGCCTGTGGCGAACGAGCAGCACGCGGCCAAACGTGCCGGTTCCTGCGGGGGTGACACGGGCACACGCACGGCGACACCGCGCCACCGGGGCGCCGTGGGCATCATGGTCCGCACCTCCGATTTGCACGGTCGGCACCGGTGCCGTGCGAAAGAAGTTCAACATACATACATACACGGTGCAAATTCCGGCGAATGCGATAACATTATTTACGTTACGACCATATTAGGCACCGCACTTCGCGTTATCAGCAGCACCCCCCCCAACTCCCGTGGGCCTCCCGTGCCGTCGAACATCGTCGCTCGAGCCACCATCTGACGCGATGGCGTCACGACCCGCGATTACGACCAGACTATGGACAACGTCACTCTAACGTTCCAACAAGACCTCGAGAAAAACACCCCCCCCACACGCCATCGGCTGAAATCCAGGAAACACTTTCTGGATGCGCGCCTCCGCACGAGCAGCCGAAAAAAACGAAAAAAATCGGCAACCTCGAGCGGCTATGGACGCGGCAATAAACAAGAATGTCATTGAGCCACCCCGCTACAGAAGCCCCGGGTTTCTTTCCCCGGGACAACCGTGGACCCCCCCTCTACGCTGCGCACGAACACAGCGTGGGAGACGCGCGTCCGTCCACCTTCCACAAATGGAAGGATCAAATGAGAATCTTCACTGCCTTGCTGATCTCATCAAGGAGCATAAACCATCACTCGAACTCTGGTCATCCTCGAGGTGGATTTCGGCTGGTCATCAGCCGAAGAGGGTCGCCGCATCGCACGCTTTCAGATTCGCTTCTGCGGCCGTCTGGAACGCTCTTCCCTCTCTCCTTCTGATCTAACAAAGCCACTGCAGCTATGCACCTTTACATCTAGATTGAAAACTCATTTCTCTAGAACTGCTTTTTGTCTTTAGTTTGTTGTCCTTACCCACACATCCGATAAGCACGGTTGGCTACGCACGGTGCGAAACGAGTTAAACATACATACGTCAAAGAACCGCTGAACCCGCGAGTGCAGTGAAACCCAAGCCATCAAACAACACAACACCGGCCAATGAGCGATCCATGCACATTCTGGTGTTGTCTTTGCGATGCGCACATCTACCGTACTGCTACCTCTTTGGATTGGTCGAAAAAAACATAGAATTCAACTAAAAGCTGTTGCTTTTCCCTCGTGCTATAAAGCAAGGAAATAGTTAATTACTGAAAGCAGCCATGTGCTGAATGGCGCTGCATTCATGTTGTAAGGCACAGGGACAGCTGGCTGCCTCTGTAATAGTCCCTCTGTGGTTAGAATGCCGTAGGGTGCCTTGAGCAATGCATGGGAGGTCCATTATAAATAATGTGATGACGATGATGATGACGTCGACAGGGACACGTGGACGTGGGGACACCCGGGCACAATATACTATCCAGGCACCAATTTGCTGAGCTTTTAGAATTAGACGAGATCTGGGCGCGCATTCCGAGCGGTTTGCCGAGTGAGAGACGCGCTGCTACAGAACAAACACTACCTACCGCTGGCGTCTGCCCTACAACCAGAAAGCACAAGGCCGGCTTAGCAAAGGCCATAAAAACATGCACACTTAAAGTATACACGTAGGTGCATTCAATCACAAACTGTCCATTAAGGAAATGTGTGAATCATAGCGGAGGGTCAGGGGATCGGGGTAGGCAGGCTGGGACATGCGTTTCGTCTACTCTGGTCTCGTGCAGTCTACGATCGCTCTTCCTATCACTCTCCTTCCAGAAAATCGAGTAACCGGAATAAGCAATCGCAACAATTTTCTCGCAGAGACATTTCTGCTCAGTTCAACGGAGTATCTGACGATGCTGCTGCCGCTGCTGCATTGGGAGCGGTGCACAGGCACAGATGATGAAGCAAAACTCACATTCGTCAATCAGAATCAGAGTTTATTTCCCGAGCCCATTGTGCCAAGAAGCGCTTTTTCATGGGCGAGTCGGCCGGCAGACAACATCAGAGCATTCCACAATTTCAATAATACTGAAGCCTTGCAAGTAAAAGTATATAATGGGCAAAGTGTCAGGCAAATGGCCCCTTTTCACACGACATAATCTATTAAGTTCATGCCACTGCGGTCGAAAACTTTAAAGAGTATGATGTCCGATTTTAACGGTTTTGGTGACAACCAATCTTTCAACTTCTTAAAGACTACGAATAAATATTCGATAAAAATGTTTAGTCGATTAATCGACTTAACCAATGGTTTTCACACCTGATGATGATTGTTTGTGTTGCAATCGAAACGTCGTGAGAATGTTATTGTTGTATTTTTATTGTTTCCCTTCTACGTGACTTTACCGATAAAACAAAGAATATAACTTTAATTTGAGCAAATATTCTTACATTTGTAATATACTGATGGCACGTGGTGAAATATCAGAATCTGATTTTTTTATTTATCCTGGAAAAAATCCGATGAGCTATGCTCGTTTTCACAGATTCCCAGGAGGGCCAGGTCAGAAAAAAAACCCATCGACTATTTGACCATACTTCGCCAGGCTGGTCAAAAACCGGTTGGTTAAAGTGGGAAGCAAATACATTGGTGGGGGGGGGGGAGCATGGAAGTATAGTACAATCAGTGGTTTAAATATGTTAGTTGGGGTGGGTTGGATGTGGTTACTGATCTTTCCTTCCTCCACATATCCGATCAGCACGGTTGTCTACGTAGGGTGGGAAAAAAGTTTGACATACAAAGATCCCCCGTAGAGGTTTACCAGACTGTTAGCGAGCAGCTATGAAGGCCGGCCACGGCACACGAGAGGGTGGATGGCCAACACCACGCCCGGCCAACACCACGCCTGGCCGCCTTTGTCTGCCCAGTAGCGATGTTTACACACACTGTACCAGGTCCTCATGAGACTGAGTCGACCTAGGGGAGGCCCAGGACCGGCTCAAATAATCGTCATCGGTGTTATCCGTGAGCGGGAATCGAACTTGGGTCGTTGGATTCATTGCGTAGCGCGCTAACCTCTACGCAACCGCTCCGCGCATACACAGCATGCACATACGTACACACACACGCGCACACACACACAGTGAGAAGGTTCATATGTTGATGGTTATTTCTTCAGCTTCACGAGTGAGACCCGGCCTCATGACCAGCAGCCACTGCAGAGGACAACGCACTTTTGCTGCTCGACCCCTCCGATGTCGACCACGGATCCCGTGAACAAATAACTGCAGGCCGTGCCGGGCGGACAGGATGCCCTGCACTTACTGGGAGAAGAGGCGGCAAAGTGGCTCTGTGGCTATGTGGACTGACGTCCACTCAAATACCTGTCTTTTATTAATCGATGTTTTGTCAATGTATCTGGTGTTTTGACGGTCGCGTGAAATTGCATTCACTAAAAAAATAAACTGATAAAAGCTGTTCAGAGCAATGGGGGTCGACAATGCAAATTAATGTACCACAATAACACCCAGGATTAGGGCGGTTGGCTATGTACGGTGCAAAAGAAGTTCAATATACATAAACACACAGAGCAAAGATGCCCAGTCCAGTGACGTGATGCCAGGGACTCCTAGTGGACGATATGTAGATGTGGCCTAAGCTAAAACAATATTAAGAGTTCATAACAACACTATCGCGTGGGACCCGGCTTCTGCAAAATCTTAGGAGTCCAGCTGATTCTGGTCTCCTCATCATTCCAAAGACTGTGGATGACGTCGTTCTACGGCAGACGGATCTTCCTGCAGCCAAGCTTCGCGATTGTAGAATCTCCTTCCTCGGTCCGTTCGGGGTTCCGAGTTGGTGTCACTTTATAAATTACTATCTGAAAACTCACCTATTTGGACTTACCTCCCTGTAACCTGAGCTTTAAAAAACACTATCCTGCAATTATTATTATTCTCTTTGATCATAGTTCATGTTATTGGAATTTCGAGTTGCCATTGACATTGTTATCAGCTATTTCACTTAGATTTAGAATTATGAGTGTAGTTGTATTTTTATGTCCAGTGCACCGAGATACTTCAATATGAAAAGGCGATGTATAAAATTGGTTATTATAATAATATGTATTTCCAAATACAGTGAGGGAAAAAAGTATTTGATCCCCTGCTGATTTTGTACGTTTGCTCACTGACTAAGAAATGATCAGTCTATAATTTTAATGGTAGGTTTATTTGAACGGTGAGAGACAGAATAACAACAACAAAATCCAGAAAAACGAATGTCAAAAATGTTATAAATTGATTTGCATATTAATGAGGGAAATAAGTATTTGACCCCCTCTCAGAAAGATTTATGGCTCCCAGGTGTCTTTTATACAGGTAACGAGCTGAGATTAGGAGCACACTCTTAACGGGAGTGCTCCTAATCTCAGCTTGTTACTGTATAAAAGGCACCTGTCCACAGACGCAATCAATCAATTAGATTCCAAACTCTCCACCACGGCCAAGACCAAAGAGCTCTCCAAGGATGTCAGGGACAAGATTGTAGACCGACACAAGGCTGGAATGGGCTACAAGACCAGTGGCAAGCAGCTTGGTGAGAAGTTGACAACAGTTGGTGCGATTATTCGCAAATGGAAGAAACACAAAAGAACTGTCAATCTCCCTCGGCCTGGGGCTCGTGCAAGATCTCACCTCGTGGAGTTGCAATGATCATGAGAACGGTGAGGAATCAGCCCAGAACTACACGGGAGGTTCTTGTCAATAATCTCAAGGCAGCTGGGACCATAGTCACCAAGAAAACAATTGGTAACACACTATGCCGTGAAGGACTGAAATCCTGCAGTGCCCGCAAGGTCCCCCTGCTCAAGAAAGCACATATACATGCCCGTCTGAAGTTTGCCAATGAACATCTGAATGATTCAGAGGACAACTTGGTGAAAGTGTGTGTTGTGGTCAGATGAGACCAAAATGGAGCTCTTTGGCATCAACTCAACTCGCCGTGTTTGGAGGAGGAGGAATGCTGCCTATGACCCCAAGAACGCCATCCCCACCGTCAAACATGGACGTGGAAACATTATGCTTTGTGGGTGGATTTCTGCTAAGGGGACAGGACAACTTCACCGCATCAAAGGGACGATGGACGGGGCCATGTACCGTCAAATCTTGGGTGAGAACCTCCTTCTCTCAGCCAGGGCATTGAAAATGGGTCGTGTATGGGTATTCCAGCATGACAATGACCCAAAACACACGGCCAAGGCAACAAAGGAGTGGCTCAAGAAGAAGCACATTAAGGTCCTGGAGTGGCCTAGCCAGTCTCCAGACCTTAATCACATAGAAAATCTGTGGAGGGAGCTGAAGGTTCGAGTTGCCAAACGTCAACCTCGAAACTTTAATGACTTGGAGAAGATCTGCAAAGAGGAGTGGGACAAAATCCCTCCTGAGATGTGTGCAAACCTGGTGGCCAACTACAAGAAACGTCTGACCTCTGTGATTGACAACAAGGGTTTTGCCACCAAGTACTAAGTCATGTTTTGCAGAGGAGTCAAACACTTATTTCCCTCATTAAAATGCAAATCAATTTATAACATTTTTGACATGCGTTTTTCTGATTTTTGTTGTTGTTATCCTGTCTCTTACTGTTCAAATGAGCATACCATTAAAATTATAGACTGATCATTTCTTTGTCAGTGGGCAAACGTACAAAATCAGCAGGGGATCAAATAATTTTTTCCCTCACTGTATGAGCCCATTCGATGACCGGATCACAAATAATATATGCGCCTAATCTCATCAGATCTTGGAAGCTAAGCAGCTTTCAGCTTGGATAGTGCTTGGATGGATGGACCGCCACGCCTAAAGTGATTGTCACCCAACAAACTCACTCTCGTTAACGTAAAAACAACGCGCTATGAAGAAGGGCCATTGCCTGAAACGTCGCCGATTACATGTGCTTATTTTAAGGCCACACAGTATTGGTGATGAGTGAGTTCAGCTTTTGCTTTTTTTTTCATTTTGCCTGTGCACCACTGCCAACGAAGCAGCAGCATCACCACCACCACCACACAATGTGCCCTACCCAGGGTCACCCTCGAAAGAAACAACGTCACGACGGGACACTCACCAACAACGGTGAGCATCTCGATCTGCTCCAAGCTGTACGCGGCATCTTCGCTCGCCCCGGGGCTCTCAGGGCGTTGCGCCGATGCCGTCCCTCCTGCCGCCTTCTCGTCCGTCTCGCCCGCTGCTCCCGTCTTGTCGACCGCCGTCTCCGCCATCGTCCGCGTCTCCTTTCGGCTTTAACCGCACACAGCCGTGAAGTCCGACCCCCACAGCGTCGTCGCCCGCGGAACCCGCCCCCGATCAAACGCTTCGCCCTCCTCGTCTCTCAATGGCGAAGCTTCACGATTCTGTAGTGAGTCCGCTCAACCGATTCATTCACCTGCACGGCACCCAGCTATCCCGCGAGTCCGCCACTCGACCTTTCACGCCGACAATCGGAGTGCAGGCCCACTACTGCGGTCGCATATCCACCTGCCCTGCCTGGATGTTCAAGGTTCAGGCTTATTGCTCACGTGAGAGTGACTAAAAATTGCGATCAATGGGATTATTAGAAGAGCCACAACAAACAACAACTCAGTCGAATTGCTTCATCATTGCAACGGCATGCACATTCTAAGTCCGTGCGACACACTTCTCTAAAGCAAGCGAGCATCGTCGGTGTGCTGTAACCTTGGCGTCAGTCACTCCTACACACACACACACCGCCGCCGCCAGGACTGTTGTTAGTAACAGTTTTATTGCTAATGATCAACGTGAGAGAGAGAGAGAGCAAAGGGGGGGGGGGAGAAGGCAAGAGAGCGATGAAGAGAAGCAAAATAAATAAAGCGGGCTGAGGTCATAGACCGCAACGTTGTGTTGTGGCTTTTTATTGGCCCACCTGATGCCCCCTTTCAATGGAATACCGCGAAATAACAAGCCTCGCCAATCGGAGGCCACCCACTGCCTCCCTTAAAAGGTCACCGGTAGATCACACGCGGCCTATATAAAAAGGCTCGGCGTGAACGTCTCCACGTGCTTTCATTAATTAATTCTTTTAAAGCGGTCCTTTAATATCGCTGTCCACCCAAGTTTGAAAGCCTCGACGCATTATCCGTCTCTCACAAATGAATTGATTATTTATATGTATTAAAAAAAAACTATGAAAGTCGTATTAAAAAAGAAAAAATCGACCGATATTGAAAGCATGCACACATAGTGTTACCTGGTAAAATAAAAAAAAAATGGTTTACAAATAGTTTAAACAGCTTTTAAATGGAATTCAAGTGATTTACGGGAGCCTTTAGCCGATCTGGAGATAAAGATTGTCAGTTTCAAACAGCAGAATCGAGACAAAGGGAATGGAATCGCGACATCCGGTGGAACGTCTCAATCAGGTTTTAATGCAACGCAAGAATGTACGGTGGGACAAGAGGATGGGTGTTCAGTTCACGCGAAACAAAACACAAACCCATTAACCCGCAACGGTGCTTAAGACATCCGAAAGAAACGATCTCATTACAATGCAGAGGTGGGATTATTGCAACTTTACCCTTAGAGAAATTAAATCTCAGAGCCTTAAAAAATACAAAAATGCTCTCTCTTCCAGAGTTACGTTTGTCAGATTTTCAACCTCACCAGGGAGGGCAAATAATAACAATTATATACGTCCTTTTGTTAATCCACTTCTGGATCAAGGCCTCCCCATGCCGTGTGAGGCATGGGGGTTATTATCGCGTAGGTCTGAACGGTTTTGTTGTGGATCTCTCCGATGTTTATTGGTAGGGGGCGGGGGGGGGGGGGGGGGGTGCCGCACGTTGTTCTGCACGCTGCCATTTCTGCTCCACGAAATGTCAGACGTCGTGAAGAACTGTACGATGCGGTATATCCCAAAACAAAAACCATATCGACGAAGACCCAAGTCGTGGAGAGTTCTTTTTTTCTTTCTCATCATATTACACAAAGCCGGTAATTGTGGATTGGTGAAGTAGAGAGGGGAGATATTTCAGATCAATCCCAACTGATGTCATTTGGTAGCTGAGAGTCAAACTCGACCAGGCTTTCAAAAACAACGCGCGGAATCAACTGCACCACTTCGTTTACAACATCATCGTCGTTATTATTTTGGTGGCAATTCATTTTTGTCCACGATTCTGTACGATGGAATAACGTGTGCTTAAAATTAAATACGAGCTAAATGTTGAGTCATGTTCGTAAAAAAAAAAATTACAAAAATGTGAGATTAATAATCATTTAGCTTCGGGTCACTACCACGAGTTGTAAAAATAACCCGTCATTACTTTTGATAGTATCATAAGGAGATGCCCAAGTTGACTCCACCCAAACAGTTAGATTCAAGCGAGATGCAAATTGGCATCAACAAAGTGCAGCAAATTGAGAATATATGCATTGCTTTTTCCTCTTCGGTGTCTCTCCACACCAAAACAGAAGCGTGCAAAAAAAGTGCCTTTTGCCATCAATAAATATACGTCACGTCAGCAAAAGCAAATCGCAAAACGGAATAACGCAGTCTAGTAATGCACCCATTAAAAATAATTAAACGAGGATCGTGCTCACAACATATTGCACCGGTTTGGTTATAACAGCCCTGCTCTAACCCCAACTCACAGCCGTCTCGGGCTACTGTCAGTTTACATTTGAACGATACCACTCGGTACACACGGTACACTTTGAATTCAGTGCGAGCATTTTTACCATTTTTGTTTGTTGCTGCCAAGGATTTTTTTTTTTGGTTACAGGAGGCTGCCGAAACAAAACGTGGCAGGGAGGAGGGGGAAGCTCCACAAGACGGCATTATACTGAAAAGTGGTCATTTTTAAATACATTTTCCCCCCACCCCCGTCTCTGTTTTCTTTAAGTTTGCAAAACAACTGCGGGCAAGAAAACAACAACAATCTAGCGAGGTCCAAAAAGCACAGTGGTATGGGAGTGGGGATGGGGGGGGGGGGGCAGCACATGTGCCGAATGTGTGCTACTCACCGTAGCCCGGCACGATACAGAAATCATGCCGAAGTCACAACGGATCTTCCGAGGCAAATCCTCGGCCGAGCTCCCGCGAGCTGTAACCGCTCGCAAGTTAAATCGGCACTCAAGGGTTGCACGGCGTACATTTTTGCACGTTAGGGTCGCGCGATATAAAATTCGTTGTGCCCATAGCTTCGCGCATTTTGCTTCACGAATTCACGAGTGCGAGTTTGCTCCCCGTTGAACTCCCGGTATGAATTGAGGTTCGCTTAAAAAAATCATGCCTTCGGCTGCAGTTCGCGCGACGAAACCCTCGCCGCAGAGTATTTTCAAATCACTGGATGATGTTTACAACCTATAAGACGCCAGTAACGCACTCTAACAGTTACGCAATAAATAAATAAACATATAACCACATCATGCTGTCGTTTACTTCGGGAAAATGTCTTTGCAAGAGCACTAACGTGATGGATAATAGCGACTACGGCATTGTATCGTGCCCACCCTTCAAACATTCACCATTCCTTCGCATGGCTCCCTTGCCCCTCCCCACCCACGCAGCCAACGAAAGCAAACACAATTCTGCCCGTCTGCCCACACCAATAAAGACAAAGAGAAAGCTCACCCGCACGCAACCTCTTCAGGCTTTTGGGAGGCGGTGCGGTGGTGGGGGGGGGGGGGCAAACGCTGTTAAGCGAGCGCTTACGAAGGGGGGCAAAGGCGCACGACGAGATGAGCGGCGTTGCGACATCGAGGAGGGTTGACATCGGCACCCACCCCACAAACACCACCACTGCACCTCGCGCACTCACCCCCCCCCACCACCCCCACCCCCACCCCCACCACCACCCCCCACCACCCCCCCCACCGTTAGTACCGGGCAATGGAGAATCCGATGGCCAGGCTGTCGTTCTCGGCGAACAGCCGGGCGACCTCCTGGCCGAAGAAGAGGCCATCTTTGTCGGCGATGACCCTCGCGACGCCGTCCCTCAGAGGCCGCGGCGTCGCCTCGTAGCTCAACCTGCGGCGACGGGCGAGCGAGCACGAGGTCAACCGGTTGGGGCTCCACCTTGTTAGTTGTGACCCGTGCCCACTGTGCCTCAATGCTTGCTGGCCGTGATCGCTTTTCGAGGACACAGGGCAGTCATCAATAAATGATGAAATAAAAGTTTCGGGGAGCACCCCTGCGTTGCTTTCCTTGGTTCCACCGCGAGATCCTCCCTTGCGTTGGCTGCGACACGACTCGCTTTCTCTCCCAACCACGGCCACGTGGACACTATAACTTTCTGCGGGGGTGACGAGGTTCTGTTTATTCGTAAGGCTGCCAGCACATAGATACGCCAACGGACCTGTGATATCGATCCCAAGGGAATATTGTCCAGTGGTCACGTGGCTCTGGCAATCGAATCACGTGTCTGACTAACCTGCATTTGACGAAGGGCATGACTTAACGTACCGCCCATCTATCCCAAACCAACATTGACGAGGTTTAGCACCCACAAATTATACTGTAGTGCGAATATATTCACAATTTTATTGGTAACAACCACACTGGTTACATTAGGGACTCTTAAAGTTAGGCGGGTGACGTTTTACATTAATGTGCAAAGGGACAGAAAATAATATTAAATTATTGTTATTTTTTTCTCTTCTTCTAAATAATGGGGAAGTATTCATGGAAAAAAAAGTCTCAGCAACAAGAGTTTTTGCGATTCCCCCACTCCCCAACCTTTACAGACCGATGGACAAAGCCACCAAAGCGTTCATGCACTCAACCCAAGGTGCAAAGCAGCTACAAAAGTTAAAAACGTAGGTTTCAACGATGCCCACCTGCGGTGATGTGAGCTGCCAAGCTCCACGCGGTACGTGAAGGATGGAGCCAGGTGGCCGGGCCCCACTAGCAGCAGGCAGGTCGCAAATCGAACCTCCTGCGACACAGTGCGCTTCTCGAGGACCAGGAGGAATTGGTGGCCCAGGCACACCTAGAACCAAGGCGCGGGGGGGGTTGGGGGGAGGCACAAAAGCGTCTTGTAATTCAGTTTCAGTACTGGGTTTTCAATCAGGCAGGATATTTTATTTTTAGCTTTGTCCCAAAAACGTCTGGCTTTGCGTGCTACGATTTATGCATTGATTTTTAAGTAGCCTTACCAAGATGTGTGCTTGGGTGGGGAAGAAGGCACAATACATCTGGACTTCATTTACAGTACTGGGTTTTCAATATCAGAATCAGAATATGTATTTGTACTGGAGGAATGCAATGCCCCTTCTGGACACCACAGATGTCCAGAAGAGGCACAGCGTCAGACGTTACAACGACAAACAACAAGCAATACAAAGACAAAACAGGAGTTCAAAGTCTAGGAGAGGTAAGCAAATCACTTGAAAAATAAAACTTCATTATTTTTATTTTAACAGAAAAAGCCCACTGAGCTACGTAGCCTCTTTTTCAGCCGCAATTTGGCCACAAATGACAGCTCAACGAAGTAGCTTATCACGTGGAAATTGATAGCAGCCAAATAATCAAAAACAAATGTCGCATTTTGACTCAAAAAATATCTGGCTTTGTTTTGGCTACTAATAGCATTGTGTGCTACAATGTATGCATTGATTTTAAATTGCTTTCCAATTATAAAGGGTATGGAACCCACCACATGTAGATCATTTAACAGTGGAATTTGGAGAATAATTGATTTGATAGAATACAATTTGGTGGCTCACACAAACTAAAAATGGGGACGAAGCCACAAGATACTGGATCTGGATTTTAGACTTGCTGGGTGTCTAATAAGTGGGATAAAATTTCAGTTTACTGGAATCAGAATGTGTTCGTGAAACTCGAAATAACTTAACCGTTTTTCGGAAATGAAATCTTTTTATATAGCATCATGAATGTACTCATCCGACAATAGAGAACACTTGATTTATTATGTACAAGTAGGAAAATAAAACTAACAAAAATGTTGAAAACAAGCACATTTCATTTGTATAAAAGTCTGTTGTGAAGATGGCTAGACGACCAGAGCACAGCTATATTCGAAAACCACTGGAGTTGTGCACTTGTAAATCCAGATTGAAAATTAATTTCCTAAACTGCTGTGATTATTTTGCGGGTCCTTCCCGCCGCACCTCCGATTAGGACTGTAGGCTATGTACGGTGCGAAAGACGTTCAATATACATACATAAATACGTAATAAATGAAGCAAATCGGGATATGGGCCTTGAGGCTGGACTAATAATTCCCAGCAGCATTTGCTTGAGGTGCCAAACTCTTGTTAGAACTGTTGCGACGTTCGGATAATTATCAGCCTGTTAAACATTTCTATGATATTCAACAGGACTGCTACTCGTAAAACTACACTATTAATTAAACTACACTATTAAATATTCTTAGCTCTTTCGGTAAAGTCACGTTGAAGGGAAATAAACGGTCATCAACAGGTGACCGTTTGTGTTATGGTCGAAACGTCGTGAGAATTTGTTTTATTGTTTTATATATATTTTATTATTTTATTCTTTCCCTTCAACGTGACTTTACCGAAAGAGCTAAGAATATATATGAATTACTGCAGTCACGAAAGCTTTAAATCAAAATTTACACTTTTAAAGTTCAACATACATACGTACGTACACCCGCCGACCCAAGGACCATCCGTCGGGCCAATACCTGGACCATGAGCCAGAATGTGGGCGGCGGTCGCTCTAGGTTGGTCGCCTGGAAGAGGACGTCTGTGCCGCGCAGGTGCGGCACGCTGGGGTGAGCATGCGCCAGGTGTGGAAGCACACCACGCAGGGAGCCCTGCCAGGGGCAGGCGGTGAGGCCAGGGCAGGGGCACGGGTAGGGCCTGAAGACGCACCGATTATCGTGGGGTCTCCCGTGGCACACGGAGAACGTCAGAGGGCGAGCCGTTCCGGAAAACTGCCCAGGGAAAAGCGGCGTCATGATCAGAATCAGAATGTGTATTTCTCCTGTGAGATGAATCCAATGAGCATTCGAAGGTCTTTGTCACAGATTTCAAGTAGGGTCACGTGGGTCAGAACGTTACAACAACAAATCATACAAATACACGAGAGTGCAGAGTATAGGCAAGGTAAACGAATCACTTCCAAAGAAAAACACAAATAAAAGCACGCAATGTTTTGTTTAATCTTACCAAGTAAAGCCCAGCACGATATCAGCTTCTTTTTCAGAAGGGACCTGGCCACAAATGATAGCTCAACGTAGTGGCATATCATGTGGACATGTATAGCAGTCAAATAATCAAAATAATTACCACCAGCAGCAATGGCAATGAGCAGCCTCAAAACTAGTAGGTATACATTCGGGATGCTCTCCCGATTTTTTTTTCAAAAGAAATCTGAAAATTGGGTATTGCTCTGAAATTTTGGATTGATCGGGAAATATAACGACACAGGAAGTGATGTCATTTGAAGTGCCACTTCCCTTGCATTTTGCACAACTGCCGTCACGTGACATTTTTCAGACGAAAATTCCTAAAATTAAAAAAACACATTTATATTGTAATTATTGTTGTCATAAGTTGTTTTGGTTAAACATGTGCAATGATTAATACTTAACAAAATTACAAATATTAAATTTAGCAAAAACAATTACGGTTATTTAAAGTCATCATTTTATATTACAATATTTGTCAATATTAAATAACATAAAATATTTGTGGATACAAATCTGAGAAACAAATATTCCCCCAAAAAATGTAATCCAACACTCATCCCGAGTACACATGCACGTTTACCAATGCACCGCATTTGCACGTCGTCATCATCATAATCATCAGCCATGGCCAATCCACTGTTGGGTGGCCTCTTCAAGTCTTGGCCATCTCCTGATGCTGCAATGTTAAAATCCACAGGCACATAGGTGGCCAGATGTTAACTACCTCACCGGGTTTGCAGGAGGTCCCGAGTTCGATCCCGACCCTGACGGCTGTATATTTGGAGTTTTCATGTTCTCCCCGTTTGTGTATTTTTCTCCGAGTCCTCCGGTTTTTCACGCCACATTTAGAATCAACATGCGTCGAGGGTATTTGGCTGCTATACATTTCCACGTGATAAACCACTTTCGTTGAGCTGTCGTTTGTGATGGCCAGGTCGTTTGTGAAACAAGAGAGCAAAATATCTCAGTGGGCTTTACATGGTAAACTTAAAATAGTTTCGTTTATAGATTAGTGCGTAACTTGCAATTAAAACAGTACAGGGTGTCTAAAATATACTGATACCATTAGGTTATACAAGATTGTGTTCCTGTATTGTATACTTATGTTGTACGAGGAATCCGCCAACATTAGTTGGATTAGACGTTACCCTTTTTGGCAATAAAAACAGGTTAAGATATTCAAACACCGAATAGAAACCCTTTGCAAGGAATAAAGTCTGCGTTAACCACACAGTACTTGTGGTGAACATGCAAACAAACATGCTCTGATAATATATGCATCGTCTTTGAAACGGATTGGCCAGCACAATATACGTTTGACGGTGTTTCAATTCTTTTTCACGAGCCGTTTCTAGAATATTTTATTTATTTATTCAAGAAAGCCTGCCTTGTCCCCAAGACTTTCATGATAATCCTGAACGAAGATATTTTGGCCAATCCAAATGATAAAGTCCACGACCTCTCTGCATGGCTTATGTGCTGTGAAGGAGGGCCATTGCCCGAACCGTCGCCAAATTAATGTTGTCATTTCAAGGAGGTGTTATTGACGATTTATTAATACGCGCTTGGGTACAACACTGCCAATGCATTGTCACCAATGCATTGAAATATTGTAGAGTACTGCCCTCCTCTGGCGAAAGGGCTGCACTTATTTTACAATTATATTGACACAAACAGGGCATCATCTTTGGTTCTTTCGGTAAAGTCACGTAGAATGAGAATGAAATAATAAAAAAAGACAATAAAATTCTCACGACGTTTCGATCGCAACACAAGCAACCGTCATCAGGTGAAACAAACACAGCAGGCGAACTGCCGACGTAGGAGAAAGAGCTGCTGCAACAAGAGGTTATATTGGCTTTTGGTGGGCCGAGCTAGAGAAGGCATTTGAATGTCAATGTGAGGCTCCAGTAACCGGAGGTTTTGCCACATGAGAAGATTAGCATGCCAATGTCAGAGAACCGGGCAAAAGGAGAAAAAAAGTCCGGAAGAGCAAGAGATACACATGGCGGGAGAGAGAGAGACACACACAAAGAGACACATACAGAGAGACACACGGTACCCTGTGCCTGACACCATTGCAACCATTGAAGACTTGGTCAAACAGGGACTGAATTCTGATGTGCCAACTTTGGTGAGGCACTGCCTTACCAATACCCAAACAGGGCAGGCGAGGCAGCCAGCAAAAGCAACACACATCACCTTGCACGAGAAGCAGAGTCCCAAATTGCCCCTTGCAAAGCCGGGGAAAGTCTTCACGGCCAGCAGACCCGGTGCTGCTGATGAAGCTGGAGCCGACGCTGCTGACGATCTTGATGATGTTGCTGCTGCTGTCGATGCTGGATTTGAAGTTGCTGATGATGCCGATGCCGATGCCGGCGATGCTCCCGATGCTCCTGCAGCTGGTGACGATGCCGCCGCTTCGAACCTCGCAGAACCACTTCGGCCAGATTCCGTGGCCGCACCACCGACCCCACCCATAGCTTCCAAGTCATCGGATTGCGCCGTTCCCCGACCGAGGACAGGACGGTCTCTGTCGTCCCACGGTTGAAATCTGGTCTGCGGAGCTAGGTTGCGGTGGCGACGGCAGCTGTTGTTGTTGCTGCTGTGTGGTGGTTGTTGCTGCTGTTGTTGTGGTGGTGGTTGTTGTTGTTGTTGGGGCGCATCATAAGGCAAAGCGGAGATTGAATTTTCCGCGCTGCTGCTGCTACCACCATCAGCACGCCGCCGCCGCCACCGCCTCCCACCTGACATTGGTGACGTCACTCACAGGTGCGCGCCCGGTGGGATGCGGGCGGTCTCTTAATAAAGGCGACTGTGCGGCCAATCAGCGACGAGAACGAGCATGCGTGTGTCTGTGTGTGTGTCTGTATGTGTGTGTGTGTCTGTACGTGGGGAGCGATAGTGTAACGGTTAGCGCGCTGCGCTATGAACCTGGCGATCCGGGTTCGATTCCCGCTCACGGCCAACACCAGTGACGATTATCTGAACCGGTCCCGGGCCTCCCCTAGGTCGACTCAGCCTCAAATGAGTACCTGGTGCGGTGTGTAAACATTGCCACTAGGGAGACAAAGGCGGTCGGGCGTGGTGCTGGCCACCCACTCCCTCGTGTACCGTTCCGGGCTTCATAGGTGCTCGCTAACAGCACTTGCCCCTACAGTCTGTTAAGGCTATATGGGGGATCTTTGGTGTGTTTGTACGTGCAACTCATGGCGTCTGTGAACACCACAGTGGCTAAACGGGGGCTCTTTTGAAGGTTTACCAGGGGCTGGCAAACCTTCAAAAAATTACCACGAAACCACGACTTAAATATATAACTAATAAGCTTGTGCCGGAGGCCCCGTCTATGACGTCTCCTGCCAACCCCCAGGAGATTGAATCTCTACCCTCGGGGCTCCTCCAGAAACAACGAAAAGCCACTTCGTGTGGCCACGTGGAATGTTCGAACGCTCACTGCGGAGGAGAGGCTGCCACTGCTCTGTTGAGAGCTGGACCGGTACCGCCTGGATCTCTGTGGCATTCAGGAGGTCCGGTGGACCGGTTCTGGTGCCTGCCACCATGAGGGGTGGACAGTCCTCTACTCGGGGCAGCAGACTGCCAAACAACAGGATGTGGCTCTTCTTTTGAACAAAAGAATGAAGGGTGCGTGGGAGCGTGGCGTTGAGGTGTGGAAAGCTGTAAGCCCCAGGCTACTTTGGGCTCGCCTTCCCATCAACCGGAGGCGAGGAGTGGTGGTCGTGGTTACTTATGCCCCCACCGAAGACGAACATCCGTGGAGGGATGCAGGCAAAGCCGATGAGTCAGATGCCTTCTATGACCTCCTGTCACAGGTGCTGGCTAAAGTGGCCCCTCGGGATAGAGTCATCTAGTTGGGTGACTTCAATGCCCGAGTTGGTCATGATGCTGGCACCTGGTCTGGAGTGATTGGAGGGCATGGGCCAGATCAGCTCAATAACAACGGTAGGAGGCTGCTAGATTTTTGTGCAGCCCATGGGCTTGTAATTACCAACACGCTGTTCCGGCATTGGCGCATCCACACAACATCATGGATGCATGCCAGGTCCAAGCAAGAACATCTGCTGGACAACATAGTGACGGATCAGCGGATGCGAGCCCATGTCCTTGACACCAGGACCTACCACTGAGCTGATCTGCCCTCTGACCATCGACTTGTCATCTGTAAGATGCGCCTGCCATTCTTCCACTCTGGTGGTGGGTGTACACCCAGAACCCCATTCCAACCCAAAGTGGCCTGGTCTCAGTTAGCTGATGAAAGTTGCAAGCGAGAATTTCATCATCGCTTGCGGCTGGGGTTGGCATCGTCCCCCACTCCTCCTGATGTCGAGGGTAAATGGGCGAGGTTTAGGACTGTGACACATGCAGCTGCAATGGCTGCTTTGGGTACGCGGTCCAGACCTCTCCAGAGACCCTGGCTGACAGAGGAGGTGTTCAGAATACTTGAGAAAAAGCGTCAGGCCCACTGTCATCGGTTACAGAATCCCACGTCAGAGAATGAGAAGGCTTACCGCAGCCTTCGCTCGGAGGTTCGGAGAGCCGTGAGGTGCTGCAAGGATGGGTGGTGGTCGCAGGTTGCTGAGGAGATGGAGCCTGCCTCAGTGGCCCGCGATCACAAATCTCTATTTAACTCCATCAAAAAAGTAACCTGTAGCGCCACACCTATTACCATCATTAGGGAAAAAAACGGTGTTCCAATCTCCGACCCCGCAGGAACAGGTTTGCAGATTTGCTGAGCATTTCTGTGAGGTCCTGGGGGAGGGGAAACCCCTCAGCCAGGAAAACATCATGGCACAAAGTGGGGATGACCCTGCTGAGGCTGCGGTGCCTCAAATATTGAAATAAATCACCCCCTGTGAGTGGCTGGCTGAGGTGCCATCTGCTTAGGAAGTAGTGAAGGCGATCCGGAGTCTGAGACCAGGAAAGGCACCGGGCAGAGATGATCTCCCAAGCCAAATGCTGAGGGAGGGTGGCGTTTGTGTACAGACTGCCCTATATGACATCATAACAACAGTCTGGACCACTGGACGGGTTCCGCAGGATTGAAGGATGCCCTGGTGGTCCCCCTCTTTAAGAAAGGGGACCGCACAGACTATAACAACTACAGGGGCATCTCACTCCTCAGTGTGCCAGGAAAGGTCCTGGCAAGGATTATTCAACATCGCCTTGCCAGGCACGCTGAGGAGAGGCTTGCGGAGCCCCAATGCAGTTTCAGGAAAGGGTAGTCCTGCACAGATGCCATATTTTCTGTCCGTCTGCATCAGCAGAGGTGTAGGGAATTCCAACAAGACCTACATCTCTGCTTTATTGACCTGGTCAAGGCCTATGATACCATCAGCAGGCCTAGGCTCTGGGTTGTTCTTCGTGCTTTTGGAGTCCCTTACCCCCTGCTCACAATCATTAAGGACACTCATGATGGTGAGCGGGCCCGGGTAAAACTACATGGCCGGGAGTCAAAGCCATTCCCTGGACACCTTGGGGTGCGACAGGGATGTCCTCTGGCTCCCACATTATTTAACATCTATTTTGACCACGTACTTCATGAAGCCTTCAAGAGCGGTACCGGGGGAATCTCCATTTGGTACAGATATAATGGGAGGCTGATCGATGGCCAGGTGCGGTCAAAGGATGGCTCCCTATTGCTCAACCACGTTATGTATGCCGATGATTTGGTAATAGCTGCTCATTCAGAGGAGGAATTGGAGATGCTGCTGCTGAGACTGGAGTGTGCCACTAAGAGATGGGGCCTTACCATCAGCCCCACCAAAACTAAGCACCTGCCTGGGTATTTTGTACCATCGGACACTCCACCCCCACAACTCCCAATCGGTGATGGGGCAGTTGTGGAGAGAGTGGAGAGTTTCCCATACCTGGGCAGTGTGCTTATGACCGGCTCCAGTTTGACAGCAGAGGTCTCACTCCGAATCAGTCGAGCGGCAATATCTTTTCATCGGTTGCATAACGCTGTGTGGAAGCTACCTGGTCTGTCGCTCCGCACTAAGCTTCAGGTCTTCTCGGCCACGGTTATTCCCTCCCTTCTTTACGCTTGCGAAACGTGGACCCCCTTAATGGAACATCTTCGCCGGTTAGAAGCATTTAGGCTAGCCTGCCTACGATCCATCCTGGGTTTAACCAGGCTGGATTGTGTGAGGAGCTCACAAATCCTTGAAAGATCTGGGCAAGGACCTATCGGTGAGCTCCTCCGGCAGGCAAGGCTGCCTTGGCTGGGTCATGTAGCCCGCATATCCAGCCACCGCATGCCCAAACAGCTTTTGTTCGGCCGGATGAAGGGGGCTAGATGGGCGCGGCACGGGCTAGAGAAGAGATGGAGTGATGTGGTACAGGAGAACGTGGAGCTGAGTGGACTTGCCGATGACTGATACCAGCGGTGTCAAGATTGGCCTCTGTGGAGAGGCTCGTGAAGGCCGCTACTGGGCAGTTGGAGGCAGTCGCCCTCCAACAACAACGGAGGGCGGATGAGCGACGCTCACAACAACGAGCGGAGCGCCGGGTGGCTAAAGCACAGCTGGTTGGCACAGTAGGGGGCACAGGTGGTGCATCAGCCAGTGCATCAGCCAGTCATCTCAGTCAGTCGACCCGTGGCACCTGGGTCTGCCCCGTGACCTCCTGCCAGCGGGCGTTCGACACTTTACGTGGCCTCAAGGTGCACATGGCCTGGCACTAGCGTCATGGTGACGTCACCGCCACGTAGTGGCGAATGGCGGTTGTTGTTGTTGTTGTTGTGTCTGTATGTGTGTGTGTCTGTATGTGTGTCTCTATGTATGTGTGTGTCTGTATGTGTGTCTGTATGTGTGTCTGTATGTATGTGTGTCTCTGTATGTGTGTCTGTATGTGTGGGGAGCGGTAGTGCAGCGGTTAGCGCACTGCGCTATGAACCCGGCGACCCGGGTTCGATTCCTGCTCACGGCCTACACCGGTGACGATTATCCGAACCGGTCCCGGGCCTCCCCTAGGTTGACTAAGCCTCAAATGAGTACCTGGTGTGGTGTGTAAACATCGCCACTGGGGAGACAAAGGCGGTTGGGCGTGGTGCTGGTCACCCACCCCCTCGTGTACCGTTCCGGCCTTCATAGGTGCTTGCTAACTGCCCTTACAGTCTAAGGCTATACGGAGGATTTTTGTCTTTTGTGTCGTCCATAAATGACGTCACGCGATTTTGGACGATTTTTTACTCCCCCCCCAGTCACACGGCGTCACAAAAAGTCAGACCCCCCTCAAATATGACGTCACAAAGATCTGCCCCCCCCCCAAATTTTTTTGTAAACATGCTTCAAATCGCTTTAAACTATTGTCATTGTAGTGCGTATTTAATCTGGCGCTGCACTCTGATGTTGTAGGAGAAAACATTTATTATATTAAAAAAAGTATATTTAATGAAGTAGAACGTGTTGTCTATATTTATTTGACGTCAACCCCCCCCCCCTAGTCACACATCGTCACAAATGTCTGACCCCCCCCCCCCTAGATGCGTGACGTCATTTATGGACGGCCCCTTAGGTGCTCGCTAACAGCACTTGCCCCAGTTTAACACGTAGGCTATCGCGACCAATTTTATTCATAATAAAGGTTTTTGGGTTAGATCGCGTCATTTATAAATGTGTCGTAAACCCTCCACCACCCGACACGGTCAAACAGTAAAAAAAATGTGTCACGTTTTTAAAGGACAAAAAAATTCACTACTTTAGCCCCCCGGTGTGTTGAAGAGTGAATCAACATCATTTAGTTTCGCTGGTAATAACATCCAGCTTCATCGGGCAATTTTCCAGAATGAGCACTTGCCCCCACAGTCTATTAAAATCAACACGGAGGATCTTTGTCTCTGTGTGTATTCGGATGTTTTTTTTGTAAATTAGTCCACCCAATGGCACAATTACTTGGCGTGATGCAGAGATTAATTGATCACGACACATGCATCTAGTGGGGACAAATTGCAAATGAGACAAAACCGAGCAGTACATAAGGGAACATAAGGCAAGACCGGGAAAAAAATATCGATGATTATCGGATCGATTGAACTTGAAGCCATACACGTGCCACAAGCGAGGGCCCCTTACATTAGACATGTGTCGGCAGTTGTGTGGGTGGGGGCCTTTTGCAATCAGTGAACTAACCTCACCAATTAACTGGGGGCACCTTTCACATCACACGAAGCCAGCTTCTGTGGAATTGTAAATGATCCGGCTACGCCTCACGGTTTACGCTTACCAGGTGGTCGGGGTTTGGGAGGGGGCGCTGTTGCCATAAATCACTTATCACGTCGAGTATTGCTGAAACATCCACTAGCTTCGCTAGGTGTCGCGCGTATCTTTTTTTCCGATCGGAATTTGCCGAAACTGGACGGAGCAAGTTTCGGCGTAAAGTTGAATTCCTGGGACCGAAGATTTGGAAAAGAATGCGACGGTCAGTGAAGTCTGCTGAAGTCATACCCATGGGCGTACCCCCCACCCCCCCCCCCCCTATAGCCACTTGGACACACACACGCGGACATAAAAACCCAGTCGAACAAGAAAAACCGGTCGGTGCATCCTGCCACACACATACACGCGCGCATTATTATTTGGTGGTTCTGCGATGACAGAGCACAGAGAAGAAGAAAAACAACTAAACACGTTCGTTAATGATAGTGGCCTTAAATGCCCTTACAATTTCAGGGCAGTATTATTGACGAATGCGATGCCTTTTCTCACATGTGCGGCCCTAGAGCGGTCGTCCCTAGGGTGCGGCGAACGGGGATGCCAGCCCCGGGCCCTGCGGTTTGGGGGGGGGGGGGTCTGCACTTCGACGTCACGGTGTCAGATGTAATATTTTCGGTGTAATTTGAAGGCGTCGAGGGAGACAAAGGTGGCCGCCACGGTGGCGAGATGTTAGTTGCTTCGCCTGGTGTGCAGGAGGTCGTGGGTTCGATCCCAACCCTGACGCCCGCTGTATATTTGGAATCTGCGTGTGTCCCTTCCCGTGGTCGCGTGGATTTTTTTGTCGGGTCCACCGGTGTTTCCCTCCACATTTCGAAGCACGCGTTTAGAGTATTCGGTTGCTATAAATAACCACATGAGCCACTTCGTTGAGCTATTATTTGTGTGAAAAAAGGTTATATAGCTCAGTTTGGGGCCTTACCTGAGAAAATATAAATAATTTATAAACGGCCCTATCTACATTATTAAACATAAACATGTTTACAGGTGGCGGTTAAATATTTTAATGCTATGATTAAACATTTTTTTTAAACAGTATTATATTTACGGCCCTGTATGCAGCAGCACACGCCGGATCCACAAGGCCAACTCACCACGCCACTCCACTGGGTGAAGTTTAAATTACAACGTTCATAAGAGCCAGCAGCTACCAAAGAGTCCAGTGTTAATTTCTGTTTCATGAATCGGCAATTACAAAAAGGCTGATATAAGAACCTTCCACGTGCCACTACACGCACACATTCCTTACACGTGCGTGTGTGTGTCGTTGCATGCAATGTGTGTTTTAACGCGTCTGAGCACATGACATGCTTGTGTCTACAGAGTAAGCAATACGGATGGAGGAAAGCTGACTCATTGGCACGTGAGTGAGTTAACGCAGCGTGTGATACTACGTCTTCAATGGCATTGCGATCTTTATCAGCTATAGCTTACGTGATAAGATAAGGCAGGCATGAGTCATCGTGGAGGCCTTCATCCAGCAATCCACTGCTGGATGAAGGCCTCCACAAATCCGACCACCACATCTCGCAATACTTTTGATGTAATTGTAATACAAATGTTCCCCGGATAGCTTTGACATACTCTGGGGCAAGTGCTGTTAGCCAACACCTATGAAGGCCAGAGCGACACACGAGGGGGTGAGTGGCCAGCACCACGCCCGGCCGCCTTTGTCTCCCCAGCGGCGATGGTTGCACACCGCACCAGGTGCTCGTTTGAGGCTGAGTCGACCTAGGGGGAGGCCCAGGAGCGGTTCAGATAATAGTCACTTGGTGTTGGTCACGAGCGGGAATCGAACTCGGGTTGCCGGGTTCGTAGCGCGGGGCGCTAACCGCAGCACCACCGCTCCCCGCTTTGATGTAATAATCCACGTAGCACCAGCTAATTTACCACTCTGGTTATGTACTTTAAGTAGCGTTTAATTCTTTGGGAATTCACATATCTCTCCCCAATGGTGTCAGTATCAAGAACGTTTAATGGACGTGTACTGTAAGACACTTTTTTTTCTGGCAGTCACTGCTGGATGGGCGGGGGGGGGTCTTCCCATGCCGTGTTGGTTGTGGGAGATGTTTGACCATACTTCACCACGCTGGTCATTATAAGTGGAACTAGGGGTGGCTGGGGGGGGGGGAATGATGTTAACCGTAGTCAAAGATTTCAATCCAGTCGCCGAGTTCAGAGGTCAGCGCGCCAATCACTGCGCGCCGCTCCCACCAGATTAGGTTGCGATGGGGTGATCCGTTTATAGACACCCCGAATGATTTTTTTTAATTTTAGGACGCACTTCCTTTCTCAACAAGCGTCTGCTGAACATTGTGAAAGCGATGACTCGAAATCGAGCAGAGTGATGAGTGTTGGAGCGAGCTGGTGAGACGTGTACAGTGGCTTTCATGTTAAAGCGATATCTTCTTCATAATTGTCTCGCAATTGTTCTGTTTAGTGGTGTTTATATACATGGATGACGATGTACATTTTTGTTGTACATAAGGACAACGTCAATCCGAATCTGTATTTATACTGGAGGAATCCGACGAGCTACAAAGCTCTTTTTCACAGATGTCCAGTAAAGGCACAACTTACTTCTAACAAAACGCAAACTATTTGGATATCTGTGAAACCCACTCGGACATCTGTGGAAAAAAAGAGCTTTACAGCTCATCGGATTCCTGCTGCAGTCGAAAATTAAGAAGCACCGATCCATAATTGTATCACTCCCGAGTTCATATTCTTGGTTCTTTCGTACCAAGAATATAAATAGAATAGCATAGAAAATAAAACGTACACACCAATAGAAAATAAAAATAAAATATCCAAAAAATAAAAATAAAAAATAAAATAAAAAACCACGACGTTTGGATCGCAACACAAGCGGTCTTCATCAGACCGCTTGTGTTGCGATCGAAATGTCGTGGTTTTTTTAAATTTTATTTCTACCAACGTGACTTTACCGAGAGAACCAAATAGTACGTTTTAAAAACGGCTCTATCGCCGTACGAAAATGTAATTTCCCTGTCCAAGAATACGGCGTAAACCGTCTGGGCTCTCACAGGCATTTCTAGATTTAATTCTAGATTTAAAGCAGGCATTCCAGCTCCCCCGCCCACCCACAAACTCACTCACCCAAGCCCGTCACCAAGTCACATGAGAGTGAGTGGCGTGTGGACAATGAACCTGCGCGCTAAAGGCACGCCAGCCGTCTCTTGCTGCGTCTGCTCCTAACCGTGACGACCTCCTCTCCTCCCCACCCCACCGTGCCAACGTAGCTTCGGGCTAAGACCTCCCTCCTCATCATCCCCCTTCACACACACAGACACAGAGAGAGAGAGAGACACACACACTCGCTCACGTTGAGCGGACAGGACGCTTACCTGCACAGTTCACAGCAACAGCGGAGGTGAGCACCACCAGCGTCTCGTTGCGTTTCAAGGCGATAAAAGGGGACACTTAACGCGGCCAAGTTTTAAGGCGTAGTAAGTATTGAGACGCACTTCAGAGAGAAAGAGAGAGATATTCTTCAGCAATGAAGACGTGATGTTAAGTACTGTACTGTGGAAGTGCGTGTGTGTATATCTCTACTGTTACAATTGCGGGGAGAGGTGGGAGCGGTGGCGCGCGATTCACTTACACAAGAGGCTTTAACTCGCTGCTGTATTCTATGTCAGTTTAACACGTAGGCTTTCGCAACCAATATCTAGAATATCGTTTTTTTGTGGGGGGGGGGGGTTAGATCGTGTAAATATGAATGTCATTAAACCCTCCACCACCCGACACAGCCAGTTAGTAAGGGGTTTGTCACGGAAACAGAAAGTGCCAATTCATCGCTAGAACAGCACTAGTGTATAGTGCAGTATACTAGTACAGCACACCGGTGTGCTGGAGAGCCAAGTCACAACATTTACAATCCGAGTACGACGTTTCGCCAGTAATCAGAGCCGGCATCATCAGGTGGACAGCCAGAGTTGTTGTTATCTGCTCTGACACTGGTGGGACTCGGCCATACAGACTCAAGGCTGTCTCTCGTACGATGCGTAAACAATTATCGGACCACGTTTGTTTGCATGTTCACCACGGCTACTGTGTGTGTGTGTGATTAATGCAGACTTGATTCCTTGCATAATGTATCTTATTTGGTGTTTGAACATCTCGACAGCTTTCGTGTTATTGCCGGAAAGGGTTAAACCCGTTCTTATTTTTCATACGACCACCACAACAACCACCGATCTGCAGGTGATGGGGTGGATGGGTGGTCAAGCCCAGACAATCCGTGTCAGGAGTGGCGAGCGGAGTGTATCGTCGTCGCTACGACGTTTCCTTCTTCGTCTTTGTGAATTGAGGCGTTGCGACGTTACACGTTGATGTACACACGCGGTCTGTTCTGGATGACCACAGTTGCGCCACTACGGCTGGAGCGTTTTCAATCTTACATATGCGCATCAGGTTGTCCGCATCTAATGCTGCCATGGTTCGTGCAGTGGGTGATGCGATTCAGGGTGGACGAAGAGCAGTTTTGAGGAAGATTAAACCAGGGGATCATCTGAGTTTAATGGCTGTTGCGTACCAGCCATACCCTTATCAGTGCCTATCTTATTACAGACGAATTCAGCCGTTATTTTACACCCCCGTGCCCTTATAAATCTTAACGTTCATCCTACAAAGTCCCATCACAAGGGAGAAAAACAAACGAATGGACACATACTTTTTTTGGGCCCGTATTTAAACGGCTGTACGCCGTATGGACCTGCAAACTCAATTTTCTCTGTACAAGGATACGGGGTTAAGCCGTGTGGGTTGACACGGTATGATGATGGGTGGGGACAGGTGCTTTGGGGACGGAGGACCTTTCATCCAGCAGTGGAATGATCGTGACTCATGCTCACACGTGTTTGCAGATTCGTTGTTATAAATCTATCAAAACAAAGCCGTATAACTTGGAGGCAACTAAGAGTAGCAATGTATGGCCAAGTGAATAACAGACGACGACACAAACGGCACAGGTAAAACTAGCGCATGGGTCGCAAACTCGCGGCTCTAGACTCGCACGAGAGCTCTTTAAGGACTGATCCTGCTCGACGTTATTCACATCCATCGCGGATCTTTAAATTTTGCTTTTTTTTTGTTATATACCGAATTCGTATGTTTTTTTTGGCTCTTAATTTGGTTGCCGACCCCTGAACTAGTGTGCTCAGAACGTCTCTCTGCAACGTACAGCCCGGTAACATGCCAATGTTGTGGTAACGTTGCCCCAGCGTTGGGGTAACGTTGCTCCAGCGTTGGGGTAACGTTGCCCCAGCGTTGTGGCAACGTTGCCCCAACGTTGCGGCAATGTTGCCCCGACGTTCTGATGTGTTACGGGGAGTGCGGCAATCGATATTCTTTGTCCGGTATTTTCGTGCGGATAATTATCCAAAGAGCGTGTGAAGTGGAGTCTCTTCAGCGGAGTCACCCAAAGGACAATCAATATTTGTTCCGGTTGTGGGTTGTTTTTTTGTCAACACAATTTTCCGAGCACAACCGCCTCCCTCCGGCGACCCAAAACGTCAAACGACCAGAGACAAGCAGCACTAACCAAGGTAGTAGAAGAAAATAGTTCACACTTTTCTGCAGTCGAACAAAGTTTACTTGGGACTTGGGACAAGAGACGATGGCATGAGGAAGAAACTGGGATCCGTGTACTTTTAAATCTAGATTGAAAATTCATGTCTTTAGAACCACTTTTGTTTTGCTTGGTTTGTCCGCCCCCGCACCTCCGATTATCACGGTTGGCTACGTACCCTGCGAAACAAGTCGAAGATACACACACATTAAAAAATCTCTGAACTGCGATTGCGGTGAAACCCTAGCCATCAGACAATACAACACCAGCGAATGCGCGATCCATGCGACAATCCTGGCGGTGTCGCTGCGATGCGCACAGCATCTACCGCTGCCTCATAAACACGATGGGAGGGAATTCCAAAGTGGAGGAGTGCGAGAGGGATGAATTGGCGAGAGAAATTCCCATGACGTGCAGTTCGGATGAGACAAGACGGTCAAGTCTGGAAGGCTGACTCCTCAATAGTTGTGTAGGAATCAATGAGGGGAGTTTATGGGAACAGTGACCATGATAGTAGCGATAGACGAGTGATACGGAAGCAACTGACTGCCGGTGAGTGAGTGATTGCCTCGATTTAGTGAATGCTGGGTCATTGATCAATCTGGCTGGGCTGTGTGTGTGTGTCTGTCCGCACTGCCCATCTCAAAATTCCAGCCGAGACAAACGTGAGAAAGCTGACCAGGTGACATTCCACGATGGGAGCCGGGACCAGATCTGATGGCGGTGGCGGCGGTGGCGGCGGGGTCACCTTGGCCATGCACGTCGTTGGGTTTGCGCTGTCCACGCTTGGCTTTGGCCTCACGGTGATGGTCATCTATCTCAACTGCTGGAGCATCTACAGCCACGGGCCCGGCACCTACATGCAGAGCGGCCTGTGGAACATCTGCGTGAGGAATGCCAGCACGGAGCGCGGCGAGGTCTGCAGGCAGTTCTACACGGCGCTGTCACAGCCCAGTAAGTGTCCACCAACCCCGTGAGGTCGCGAGTGCGGTGAGCGACCTCGGCGTTCGGCGACTTGGTGATCATCTTCCCCGCGAGCTGGAGTGGCCTTCATGTCTCGCTGAGTGTTGTTGATTGATCACTGGCGAGCGACCGTCGTGTCCAGCGTCCGCGTAGAATGCCCCTGCGGGTTGGCTCAATGTCCAGTGACGATTTTGGTGACCTTAATAGCCAGTGATGATCTTTTTCATAATTTTCAGTGAGTGAACCCCGATGCCCAGTGTGTGTTTTAATCAATGTCCAGTGAGCGACTTTGAAGTGCACTGTGAGTGATAACGAGGTCAGCGGTCTTTGTGTAAAGTGAGTGATCTTATCCACCAAGTGTCTTTAATTCATGACCAGTAAAAGCGGCCTAAAATTGCCAATAATTTTAAAGTCCAATGAGTGTCCTTTTTGTTCAGGGATTCGGGTGAGTGTCCTATATGCTCATTGGGTGGGCACCTCTTCCAAGACATTCGGCCAGCACAGAAGAGTGGGCAAAGGTTCTCCCTAAGGCGAACTCTCTAGAGCTCCCTCTGTCTTGACGCCCATCTGCCAGCAGTGGCACGTGATCAAGTACATTACAGTGTTGCACCTTTACCTTTGACCGCTTATTATAGCCCAAAGCCAGCGTTCGTGACAATTAGCGATGTTCCAGACAAAACCCCATCATCATCACGGGCTTAGCTGATTCAGTGTGTTGTGGGCGAGGGCAGGATTCCATTTTTTCTTTTGCAAGATTGCGTTGTGGCCGAGATCCACACTGCATTAAAGCATCACCCACACTGCCCATGCACGATTTCTGTAATTGTGAAGATTAAAAAAACTTCTCTGCCCACCCCGCCCTGCCCCTTTGCCCACATCACGCGTCAAGCGTGAAGCCGTTTTTTTTCTTCACAAAAAGCTTTGGCGACACTGGGGACAGCCTTTCTGGCGCTCTGGCTTGATCGGCCGATCCGGAACTCTATTTTGGTAGCTTTGGGTTCGCCTCAAAAGCTGGTTTAAGTCAGGAGTAGTCTCACGACTCTGGTGTACTGTTGGCCAAGCTGCAAAAGCAGAGCGGAAACTTGTGAGGGAACCTGTACCTTTCGTAACGACAGCAGCTGGCAGCGGTGTGTACGTTCAATGTCACCTGTAGGGTAGCGTGTTTTTTTTTAATTGATGAGATAGCTTGGAATGTGTCAGGTGTTGCCGTGACACTGCCCTTCAGAACAACCGTATAATCTGGTTGTAGATTAACAGATTATGGTCTTGTAGAACTTCTGTAAACGTATGCAATGCAGTGGAGCAGCATGATTGGTGTGGGTCCACGTGCAAGGAATTGAATGGGACCCCCTCCTCCCCCCCCGTACAATTTCCACCAACCTCCCCCCCACCATCCTTTGTAGCCTGGCCTAGGGTTAGCGTCGCCTAGGCCAGGGGGTCGGCAACCTGCGGCTCTTTAAGGACTGCTTCGTGACGTTGCTTTATTAAGGTCCCACCGTCTCGCATTCACGTTGCATTGTGGCTATTGAAATATCGAGGGTTTTTTTTGTTTGTTTGTTACCGAATTGGAAAAAAAAATGTCCCTTGTTGTTATTTTGGTTGCCGACCCCTGGCCTAGGAATATTATTAAAACTACCTTGTAAATATTAATAAAATTCAATGCAATCCCAGTAGGTACCAGATCTCAGTAGAGGCGTAATGCGCCCCCCCCCCCCACTACCACCCTATAGGACGAATTTTGCAGTTACGTGATTCATCTTTTGGGGACAAACTTCGCAATTATGCTGTGCGTTTCACAGTTTGGTGCTCAAGAAAAAAGAAAAAAAATTGTAAAATGTAATTATTTTTCAATGATTAAAAAAAAACCTAACAAAAATATTTTGTAGGTTAACCGACAAAAACTCAATACGATGGCCACACTGCGTCATTAGATTGGCGCAGAAGCAGCTCACAGAAGCAGCTCACAGAAGCGTTCAAGAAGCCCTGAAGTTATTCCCTATGCAGTAGTCTTTGTTAGTAGTCATCTTTTAATCTTTATTTGTTATTAAGTAAATAACTGTACTGCCACCTGAACACAGGTGCCAATTCCCAGACTGTCCGGGTCAACTCAGTTCGAGCAATCCGAACAGTCCAGACAGTTCAAACAGACCAGACAGTTCAAACAGACCAGACAGTTCAAACAGAACAGACAGTTCAAACAGAACAGACAGTTCAAACAGACCAGACAGTTCAAACAGAACAGACAGTTCAAACAGAACAGACAGTTCAAACAGACCAGACAGTTCAAACAGAACAGACAGTCTGGACAGGTCGAACAGTCCGGACAATTCGGACAGTTTGGACATTCCAGATAGTTCGGACAGTCCGGACAGTCCAGACAGTTCACACAGTCCGGACAATTCGGACAGTTTGGACAGTCCAGACAGTTTAGATAGTTCGGACAGTCCAGACAGTTCAGACAGTTCAGACACTCCAGACAGTTCGGAAAGTCCGGACAGTCCAGATAGTCCAGACAGTTCAGATAGTTCGGACAGTCTGGACAGTCCAGACAGTTCAGACAGTCCGGACAATTCGGACAGTTTGGACAGTCCAGACAGTTCAGACAGTCTAAACAGTTCGGAAAGTCCAGACAGTTCAGATAGTCCAGACAGTTCAAATAGTTCGGACAGTTCGGACAGTCCAGATAGTTCGAACAGTCTGGGCAGTTCGGACAGTTCAGACAGTCCGGGCAGTCCGGACAGTCTGGGCAGTTTGGACAGTTCGGACAGTCCGGACAGTGCGGATAGTTTGGACAGTCTAAACAACCCAGAAAGTCCAGACAGATTGGACAGTCCGGACTGTCCTGACAGTCCAGAAAACCCGGACAGTCCAGACAGTTCAGACAGTCCGGGCAGTTCGAACAGTTTGGACAATTCAGACAGTCCGGACAGTTCAGAAAGTCCAGACAGTCTAGACAGTTCGGACAGTCCAGACAGTCTAGACAGTTCGGACAGTCCAGACAGTTCAGACAGTCAGGGCAGTTCAGACAGTCCAGACAGTCTAGACAGTTCGGACAGTCCAGACAGTTCAGACAGTCCGGGCAGTTCAGACAGTCCAGACAGTCTAGACAGTTCGGACAGTCCAGACAGTTCAGACAGTCAGGGCAGTTCAGACAGTCCAGACAGTCTAGACAGTTCGGACAGTCCAGACAGTTCAGACAGTCCGGACAGTTCGGACAGTCTAGACAGTTCGGACAGTCCAGACAGTCCGGACAGTTCGGACAGTCTAGACAACTCAAACAGTCCGGACAGATTGGACAGTCCAGACAGTTCGGACAGTCCAGACAGTCTAGACAACTCAGACAGTCCGGACAGTTCGGACAGCCTAGACAGTTCGGACAGTCTAGACAACTCAAACAGTCCGGACAGATTGGACAGTCCAGACAGTTCGGACAGTCCAGACAGTCTAGACAACTCAGACAGTCCGGACAGTTCGGACAGCCTAGACAGTTCGGACACTCTAGACAGTTCGGACAGTCCAGACAGTCTAGACAACTCAAGACAGTCCGGACAGTTCGGACAGCCTAGACAGTTCGGACAGTCAAGACAGTTCGGACAGACCAGACAGTCTAGACAACTCAGACAGTCTAGACAACTCAGACAGTCCGGACAGATTGGACAGTTCGGACAGTCCAGAAAACCCGGACAGTCCAGACAGTAAAGACTGTTCGGACAGTCCAGACGACAGGTGGGAACCCTTAGGCTGCTCCCCTTCTGACCAGTGGATCCTCATGTGTCACACCACCTGCACAATGATCCATAGCAGCGTCACTGATGTGCATGCATGCCGCTGTAATCAGAGACCTTTATTTGAGCAGTAGCAGTGGTCAAACATGGGGAGTAAGGTGGAGTCCCATTTTTGCTGTCCATTGTGTTTGTGAACTTTTATATTTGTACGCAGTGCGGCGTCTTGTTTGTTGTTTTTAGACAATAAAAAAACGTCCGACTTTTAAAGACACCATCGTCGGCTGCCCAATGATTCAGGGCGAGCACCCATTGAATGCCACGCCCATTGCTTGTTTGAGCTTGGGAGACATCGATATTGTAATACGGTAACAACCATTATGAATATGCACAGCCCGCTTGTTACCCCACTGCTGGACCAGGGCCCCATACATACCGTGTGGGTCTTGAGGGTTATTTTGGCCATACTTCCCTCTTGTTACTCCACTGCTGGATGAGGGCCCCATACATACCGTGTGGGTCTTGGGGGTTATTTTGGCCATACTTCCCTCTTGTTATTCCACTGCTGGATGAGGGCCCCATACATACCGTGTGGGTCTTGGGGGTTATTTTGGCCATACTTCCCTCTTGTTATTCCACTGCTGGACGAGGGCCCCATACATACCGTGTGGGTCTTGGGGGTTATTTTGGCCATACCTCCCTCTTGTTACTCCACTGCTGGATGAGGGCCCCATACATACCGTGTGGGTCTTGGGGGTTATTTTGGCCATACCTCCCTCTTGTTACTCCACTGCTGGACGAGGGCCCCATACATACCGTGTGGGTCTTGGGGGTTATTTTGGCCATACTTCGCCAGGCTGCTCGGTGCGGTTGGTGAAGATACGGTGGGGGGGCGGAGGGGGCATGAATGCGGGAAAGTAGAAGCAGAGCGAGGAAACATATTTCGCCGCACTGTTGTCCACAGCGCAGTCCCATAGCCCTGCGCCATGCCTGTGTTCATCCGATTGTGCTTCTGCGATGTGACGACACTGTCCTGTATGTTGAACTTATTTCGCGCCGTACGTAGCCAACCGCGCTAGTTTGAGGTGCGGCAGAAGGTCAACGAATGAGTTTTCAATATAAATCAGTGGTTCTTCCCCTGGGGGTGCGTGATGCCCTTTCTGGGGGTGTGAGACGTGGCCAGGTTTTTTTCGAAGTTAAATCACCGAAACACAAATTAAGCACGGACGCGTAAGTGCAACTAATTTGTTCCATCAAACATAAGTATTTAGTATTATACATTTTTTTTACGATTGAGAACCAATGAGGTGTGAGGCTGCAGTAACGGTTAAGAACCGCTGATCTAGATGATTTAAAAGGGTCATCGCTCCAGTGGCTTCCTAATATCGGAAGGAAGAGCGTTCCAGACGGCCGCAGAAGCGCTTCTGAAAACGCGCAATGCGGTGACCCGCCTGCGTTCGACGGTTAGCCACAAGTCGCTGCTGTCAGGAGTTTGGTCGCATTCCACGTGATTTGGCCACGGGCAATAATCATACCAACATTTTACGGTGCATGCCGGAACTTTGGGTTAGGCATATAAAAAAAAACTGCCACCCAATGCTCCAAAGCCGTAATAACTGGTGATGAAACCCTCTGATTTGCATTTTGCGAAGATTTAACCCCTAGTTTTACAACACGTCGTAAAGTGTGCACTCAAATGGTGAACAGTCCCACGCGAGTCACGTGACCAGGAGATGCCAAATGGCCGTGGTTATTGCCAGGTAGTGACTTTCAAGGGGCCACTAAAAACGTTTTGTTTGACCCAGGTGCCGTTTACATCGAGTCTGGCACGTTTTACTGCGGGAGAGAGAGAGGGGGGGGCCCTCATGTCCGCCTGGCAAATGAGATGACAAGGATCCACGGGCGTTGCTTCTCAAGGGGTGGCGTAACCATCCGTGTTTAAACCGCGTCCTCGAGTGTGAAGTAGAGTCCAACACACACACAAAAAAAAAACTCCGTCGATTGACACAGCACGGCCAGGCCTTCATCCCGTAGTGGATTTACATTGGGCTGTCAACATATTCGGCCTCGACACAGTAGAAACAACTTGTTCAGTGTCTGTATATTTGGGGGTGGACAGGTGGCTGCGACATCAGAGTGGTAAGCTGACACAACTGAGCTTATGTGTTCGAATTCACTCAACCGCCCTTTGATTCAACTGTAGGGTTCTCAGGTGTGCCGAGTTGATCATCTCAGCCAGGTCACCGATGACAAAAATCTACAAAGTAACATTTTCTCCTGCATTTCCTTTGGCTCAATTCAAGCTCTGAGAATAAAGAGTATAGCTTTCACCCTCACGTGACAAATATCACTCTTTTTGATTTAAAGCTTTCGTGACTGCAGGGATTAATATTCTTGGTTCTTTCGGTAAAGTCACGTAGAAGGAAACAATACAATAATAAAAATATAAAACAATAACATTCTCACGACGTTTCGACTGCAACACAAGCAATCATCATCAGGTGTGAAAACCACAGCAAGAAAATTTGATTGCTTGTGTTGCAGTCGAAACGTCGTGAGAATTGTATTGTTTTATATTTTTATTATTTTATTGTTTCCCTTCTAGGTGACTTTACCGAAAGAACCAAGAATATAAATATCACTCTCTTTACCAGGGCTGGTGGGAAAGCGCTGCTCCCTGCTATGTGTAAGAGGTCACTTCCAGAAGGCATCTTGGAGGTAGCTCTGTGATATCTGCTTCTGTGGGCCGTTCTCCAACGTGAAGGGTTGCACTGCTCTGCACAGCTCTGTGAGAGATCTGGACGGATTCTACAGAATGCTGATTGTACCTATGTATGTATGTATGTTGAACGTCTTTCGCACCGTGCTAATCGACGGTGGAGGCGAAGGACAACAAACAAAAAAATCAGTTTCAAAAAATAAATGAGTGTTCAATCTAGATTGTTTCAAAGTGCACAGCTCCAGTGGCTTTCCTAACATCGGTAGGAAGAGCGTTTCCAGGCGGCCGCGACAAGAGTCCGCGTGCGACGATGCTGACCCGCGCCGTCGCGCGGGCCTGCAGGGTTCTTCCAGGTGGTGCGTGCGCTGATGCTCATGGCCGTGGCGGTGGGCGCCATCGCGCTGTTCGTTTCCACGCTGGGCACGGCGTGCGCCCGCCGCTTCAGCGAGCACGCCAGCACCAAGACCAAACTGACCTGCGCTGGCGGCGCCCTGTGGCTTCTCACGGGTTCGTAACGCACGCACGGACCGACGGACGGACCGACGGACGGACGGACGGACCGACGGACGCACGAACAGCGGACGGACGGACGGACGGACGGACGGACGGACGGACGGACGGACGGACGGACGGACGGACGCACGCATGCATGGACGGATGTGACGGCCAGCAGGGATGGATGGATGGACGAATGGGCGGATTGATGGATGCGCTGACAGACGGACAGACGGATGGATGGATGGATGGACGGGCGGACGAATGCATGGACGGGCGCACAAACAGCGGGCGGACGTACGCACGCATGGACAGATGGGTAGACGGACACACGGATGGATGGATGGACACGGTGACGGACGGACAGACGCATGGATGCACGGGACAGATGGATAGACGTGCGGGTGGATGGGCGCGTGCGTACGGATGTGTGGAAGCATGGGAGGACTGAGCAACATCACATATCCGACTCGCTGCGGACTTAGCTCTTAGGCAGATCTGTTCAAAGATCGGTTATGTGAACAGTTATATAAAACGTTATTATGTGTTGATGCTGCATTGGCAGTGGCGCGCAAGCGCTCAACACATTCGTCAATAAGACTGTGGCCTCATAAGCAAAATACATTGTTGCGCAATGCTATGCTCTCGCGTAGTATGTTCCTCGTAGACCAGCGCCGTGAAGTATGGTAATTTAAACCCGCACGGAGTGGCGTAGCGAAGGAAGGCCCTCATCCTGCCGTAGCGGATTAATAAAAAGTTGCTGCTCCCACATGCACGTACATGTCTGTTTCGTAAGGGAGCGGCGGTGTTGCCTTTCCCCGTACCCTGCAAAACCTGTTTCCCCTTTGTTGAGACCAGAGAAGAAGGCATTATTAATGCAGCAGTGTCCATTCAGCCACGCTGCTCCGCCGTGCATAGCTTCGGGGTCAGCCTCGTCACGGAGTTTCCAGGGTGGCTTCGCGTTTCTCCAACCTCGCTGAGACAGAGAGAGAGAGAGGGGGGGGGGGTCACGAGATGACCCCCGGCAGGGATTTGATACCCGTACACTCGCCACGAGAAGGCGGCCCGTTGCGCAACCAAGCTGGACTGTATTCTGTGCAGCTTCCCGTGACGATATGGGATGCGGTTATTCAAATTTTTACTCGGGTTCCGGTGTGGATTTACACGACCTGCGGAGTTCACCCGGAATGCACCCAATGCCATCAGAGCTCAGAAGCTAAGCAGGTGCTGAGCCTGGAAAATGCTTAGATGGGCAACCACCGTGGCCAATGTTCGGCGTTGTGGGCAGTGCTGCAACATGCCATTGTGCTTCTGTACTCCCTCTCCGCCTAACCTCCACAACCCACACTGACCGGTGTGGTGAAGTATGGTCAAATAAGCCTCACTGGCTGCATGGCGTGGGTTTGGCCCTCAACCAGCAGTAGATTGACAAACGGGTTGTCTGTGTGGGTTTAACACGTAAGCTTTCCCGACCCGTATCCATAATGATTATTTTTTTGGGTTAGATCGCGTACATTTATATTTACGATGCATTTATATTTAGGCGATCTCACCCAACAAATACCTTGATTATGGGTTGTCTCTGTGCGCGTGCGATCGATTCGATAATCGGCGCTTGAAGAAAACATAACCGGTGGCGTGAAATGTTGCACGTGTCGTTTTCCCTTGCGCTAAGCTTTGCCGTGCTCCTCGCAGGTCTCTGCGTGATGCTGGCCGTGTCCCTTTACGCCAACTTCGTCGTGAGCCAGCTGTACAACCCGCTGGAGCCCTACGGCGTTCGGTGGGTACAACGACAAAGATCCCCCCGTGTAGCCTCAACAGACTGGCGGGGCAAGTGCTGTTCGCGAGTAGCACCTACGGAGGCCGGCACTGTGGCACACGAGGGGGTGGGTGGCCAGCACCAGGCCCCGGGCCGCCTTTGTCTCCCTAGTGGCGAATGCTTACACGCAACCGGACCAGGTACTCATTTCAGGCTGAGTCGACCTAGCGGGGGTGGGGGGGGGGGGGGGGGCTCCGGACTGGTTAAGATAATTGTCGCTTGTGTTGGCCATGAGCGGGGATTGAAGTCGGATCACCGGGTTCGTACCGCAGCGTGCTAAATGCTACGCTACCACTCCCCACTCTTTGTCTTCCTTCGGCGGGTACAAAGATAGACAAAGATCCCCCGTATAGCCTTGACAGACTGTAGGGGCAAGTGCTGTGAGCGAGCACCTATGGAGGCCGGCACGGCACACGAGGGGGTGGGTGGCCAACACCACGCCCGACCGCCTTTGTCTCCCCGGTGGCGATGTTTACACACAGCACCAGGTACTCATTTGAGGCTGAGTCGACCTAGGGGAGGCCCAAGACCGGTTCAGATAATCGTCTCTGGTGTTGGCCGTGAGCGGGAATCGAACCCGGGTCGGCGGGTACACACGCAGACTCACCCGCCTGGGACAGCGGCCACGCATTAGTCACGAGTCTGCCCAGGCTGCACACAAACGATTTGCAGCAATTGTGGGGAAAAAAAAAAACTCCCCTGACAACCTTCGCCACACGACTTGGGTAGCCTTCGCCCCTTTGCCCATATCAAGAGTCGGGTGTGAAACGGGAAAATTCCAAACCGGGACAAAATCCCATTTTTCCCAAAAGTTACGGGAAACCAGGGACATGCCGTTCTGCACCTAGGGCTGTACGGACCAATCCAGGGCATGTTTGGTTAACTTTACTGGAAATTTGTACAAAAGAGCTTCATAGCTCGTCAGGTTCCTCGACATTAAATAAAGAATCTGATTCTAAGCTTCGGATTGTACATACGTATGTTGAGCTTTCGCAATGTACGTAGCCAACCACGCTAATCTCAAAGCTGGTGTAAGTCACAGTCGTCTCATTGCTCCAATGTACTTTTGCCCAAGTTGCAAAAGTAAGAGGGCAGCTTGCGACGGAACCCGCGCTGCCTTGACGACAGCAAACTGCCAGCAGTGTGTACGCTGAATGTCACCCGCAGTGTAGTGTGTGTGTTTTTCTTGATGAGAAAGCTCTGAAGGTGACAGGTGTTGGCATGGCACCTCACCCAGCACCACCATATAATCTGGTTGTAGATTAACCGACAGACGGATTTATGGAACATTCGGTAAACATTGTACACCAGGGGCAGTGGCAGTTATGCTGCACGTGGCCTGTAATCCAGCGCTGCGAAGGCAGCGAGGGTAAGTGCATCGCACACAGACGTACGTATGTTGAACTTCTTTCGCACCGTACGTAGCCAACCGTGCAAATCGGAGGTGCGGGGGAAGGACAACACGCTAAACAAAAAAAAGCAATTCTGAAGAAATTCGTTTTCAGTCGAGATTTAAATACGCTTAGCTCCAGTGGCTTCCTAACATGGGAAGGAAGAGCATTCCAGACGGCCACAGAGGCGCATCTGAAAGCGCACGATACAGTGACCATCTTTGTTCGATGGCCAGCCAGAAGCCGCTGTTGCGAGGATGACCGCAGTTCGCGTGCTGATGGTTCATGCTCCTTGACGAGACAGCTACCAAGGTGCTCAGCGTTTAATGAACACTGAACCCTAGTGATTAACACTGATGCTGGTGGCATAGTATGGTTGGGACGGGGGCCCAAGCCCCTCTCGCCCTGCCCAATTTTCTACCCCCCCCCCCACCCTCCTGGATTTTCTGTTTGCACAGTCACACAATCACTTTAAGATGTTTTCTCGTTCATGTTTTTTGTTTATAATAAAGGTTTTTGGGTTAGATCGCGTTTATTTATAAATGTGTCGTAACCCTCCACCACCCGACACGGCCAATCAGCAAAAAAAGTGTCACGTTGACAATTCGCCATTCTGGCGAATTGCCCAATGATACTGGATGTATTTACCAGCGAAACGTCGTACTCAAACTGTAAATGTGGATGAAAAAAAAAAACACCGGTGGGCTAAAGTAGTGAATTATTTGTCTTTTGTCAACGTGACACTTTTTTTGCTGATTGGCCGTGTCGGGTGGTGGAGGGTTACGACACATTTATAAATAAACGCGATCTAACCCAAAAACCTTTATTATGAATAATATTGGTCGCGAAAGCCTACGTGTTAAACTGATGTTTTTTGTTTGTTTGTTGCAGTTGCACCCGATTCAAGAGCCGAATGGCTCACAGGGCTATACCAAATAAATGAAAACTATGAAACTAAACTATGAACTTCGTATCCCGCCGCCCCCGGGGGCCCCCTCCCATCCGGTCCCGTTGGGTGCCTGTGCAGTCGCACCGCCTGCATGCTCGGGCAGCGAAATCCCCATGCGTGTCGCGCTGAACGGCGCGCGATTGCTCTCGCCGCAGGTTCTCGTTCGGCGCTGCGCTGTACACCGGCTGGCTGGCCGGCGCCTTCATCGTCATCGGCGGCGCGCTCATGGTCGCTGTGTTCTTCAGGAAAAATTCCCTCCGGACGACGTGAGTTCCACGTCTCTGCGTGCCCCCCACACCCCCCCCCCCACGCCCGCTGTCTATGGCACAGCGGTGTCCAACTGCCATACAAGTAGAAAGACTCACACAATTTCACAGGCGATTTAACCCTGCACCCACTTACTACGTGAAACCTGCAACGTATAGCACTCCATTGTGTGATTTGGCCAGGACTGAAAATGAGGGCACGGTTGCCGTTGTAAGATATTTACCTTCGACGGTTTCACTTTCAAGGCTCTCAACATGCCCCGCTGTCATTGGCATAAGGCACCGTGGTGGCGAGATGCTAACTACGGTAACAGTAAATACGGATACCGACCCTGACGCCTGCTGTATATTTGGAGTTTGCATGTGTCTCCCCGTGCGCACGTGGATTTTTCTCCGGGTCCTCCGGTTTTTCCCTCCACGTTTAGAATCAACGTCACGCGTTTTAAGAGTATTTCGCTGCTGCAAATTCCCTTCGTTGAGATATCATTTGTGGCCAGGTCGCTTCTGAAAAAGAGCTGTACAGCTCAGTGGCACCAAAAACAAAAAGCGCTAAGCATTTAAACTATAAACAAGCACGAAAACATTCAAATGAACTCACAGTTCACGATTCCTCTCCACCCACAGGTACAGATTCGTCATCACTGACATCGTCGCGTCCCCTTGAGGAGCTGGCGACCCGACAGCCCACGCTCGCAAGAGGACACTTCTAGACCGGGCGGAGAGAGGTTCAAGTTCAAGGTCACACGCTCATCCAACCCCCGTCCTCAAAGGCGGCTAAGGGAGCAGCAATGCCGCCTTAATCGTGCGGCAAACGCAGAGCACCATGGGAATTTGGTTGTTTACCGCCGGCCTCGGTGAGCGTGGTCCTTCCAACCCACCCGTCTGTTCGTGACTTGGAATGCCACGGATTCATTTGAACTCTTTCCCTTTGCCGGGGCACCAGCAATTTGCAGGGTGTGTGGGGGGGGGGGGGGTCCCCGTTTACCGCTGAATCTCGGAACGCGCGAGCAGTTCGGCGTTAATTCCATTTTAGAGGGGGGCATAGTAGCGCCGTTGTTTTTTCAGATATCGTTTACTCGCCGCAGAGAACCGCAGCGACGTGACCTGCCGCCGCTCCACGATAGCTGGCGCCAAGCTGTGCCACACAGGCCCTCCCGTGTGGCCCTTCACTTCCGATTCCGTTGCAATGACGTACGCGTACGTACACGCACGTCGTTGGAACGGCAGAGGTTTTAAAGAGAGCTGCACGCATCCTGATGTGTCCTTGCTGGGCGTCGCGCGTTGTTGCTTGACACGCGAGACGTTTCCCCCCCCGCGCGCTGGGGGCATCTGCAGGAGGCGAATATTTCCGAGCGGCGTGTTGTTCGGCATCGAAGACCCGGCCACGTCGCTTCGCGTGTTTCGTGGAAGCTTCTTCGGTCACTGTTGGTCTAGTTCACGAAGCGCCTGGAGCGGTATCAACTTCGATAACACATCGGAGCGTGCGGGGCGAACGCGAAAACCTACCCAGTATAATGTGCGCTGCGGGATTCCTGATGTTTGTTAAGTAAATGTTTCATTTCATTGCAATATATAGCACATGTATATAGCAAATACACGTGTACAAATTAGCAAATGTCGAATGATATGCTTTTGTGATTTCAGGCCGAAGTGTGTACAGTAGGAACTGTGATAGTGATAAATTAATTTAGGAAAACTATTTAATATTTCATTTGCCCCCTCTTTTTCGCTCTGCCCGATGAAGTCCGCTTGTGTTGCCATCGAAAGGTCGTGGGTTTTTTCTTTTGTTAATTTTTTTTGTACATTTTTTATTAAATTTTATTATCTTTTATTTAATTTTAGTACCTTTAATTCTCACGTGTACCTATCATGTAAACCACCGTAATTTATTAAACCTGATTTGCAATGTCCATAATGATTTTGTACCTGATTAGTGTCATCGTGGAGAATTTTCAGGACCAAAATAAATTCGCAGACCTTATTTCTGTCCCTCCGCGTAATTACAGTTGATCATCGATTATCCGGCTTCCAACATTATCCGGCCGCTCCGGACCGATCCGGAAAACCGGCAAAAACCGCTCCAGTCTGGCAATCGTTAAACACACGTGGGTGTTGAAACAAGAGCGTAGTACCTACATCACCGCACGCATAGTCTTCGAGATTGGAGTGGCAAGTACGGTAACAGTAAATACGGTAACTTTTTTTTACAGTGGGATATTCATTTCTTGTCTATTTGTACGTTTATTTATGCCAATTTCGTTTTAGTAAACACATTTAAATACGCGAAAAAAAACCCATACACAACACCTAAAACATAAAATCTGGCACGCAAATCTCCGCGAAGCCGCCGAAAAATCGATGATCTACTCCATGTACGTGTTTATGCATCACATCAGCCACATGGCCTTCTCGTCACAAGCATTGGCTCAAGCAAGCTTGGCTGCCGATGAGGCATTGAATGTAAAAACCGGTTCAGAGTTTGCCGCATTGAACCGATGTTGATGAAACGATGCACTCCCAGAAGGCGGGATATCTGATGAGTTGTGTAAACGGCACCGTTAATTTTTTTTTTTTAAAGGAGTTATATTTTCAACTTATTTACTTTGTGCATACGTGTTTTTATTCGTGATTGAGGATAGGAATGCATTTTGTTATCTTTAACAGTTAACGATTGTACCTAAATAATCGTCGTTAGCCATGGTCAATCCACGAGTGGATGAAGGCCTCCACAAGCTGTGTGCATCTTGGGGGGGTGTTGATTGACTATACTTCCCCAAGCTCGTCAGCATGGCTTGGTGAAGGTGAGGGAGCATAGCAGATTTTGCTACGCCGTGCTCTGCGTAGCTCCCGCAAGCTCCTATACCAACCTGCTTGTGTACAGAGGTCGTCCATCCACACTCGCAAGTGGCTTCAGTTTCAGTTTCATTTATTTTGGTATAGCCCTGTGAGCCATTCGGCTCTTGAATCGGGTGCAACCGCAACAAACAAAAAACAAAAACATGAACAAGAAAAACATCTTAAAGTGACTATGTGACTGTGCAAACAAAAAATCCAGGAAAAAAACAGCAAAATATTCCTGAAAAAGCACCGTAGACCAACGCTGTGTTCAAAAATCCCAGTGGGATGCAAGTCAAACAACAACAAGATAACTTGGATCAAGGCCATCAGTCTAACTCCGTACTACAACAAAACAAACATTTCCAAACCAAAAAACGTTATCGATTGCCCACGAAGGCCGACATGGCAATGGTGTGGCCAAAACCACGCATGGACACCTTTGTCTCCTTCATTGGTGTGTTGTTTACACACCGCGCCAGGTACTGCACTGGTTTAAGGCTGAGTCTACCTAGGGGAGGCCCAGGACCGGTTCAGATACCACTCGCCACTGATGTTGGTCGTGAGCGGGAATCGAACTGCCACTCTCCAGACACTCGCCACTCACTCGGCAAGGTTGCTGCAATGATAATATTTTTTTAGACGATTATTGCGATCCGTAATAGAGGTTTTTTTGGGGGGGTTAGACCGCTAATCAATAAGGTTTGTCACGTAAACAAACGTGTCAATTTTTTAGTAGTTCAGCACACACTGGTGTGTTGGAGAGTAAACGCACAGCATTCACAATTGCAAACCTTACCAATTAACGGTGTCGGGTGGTGACGGGTTTCACGACACATTCATATTTACGTGATCTAACCCAAAAAAACTTCCACGTATTAAACTGGTTATTGCGATACCCGTTGCCCATAACTTTGTATTATCATGTTATCGTCTTGTTTGTGTGCTTTGCTGTACATACAAGTACAAATAAAAACTGCTGAAAAGTTATTCAACTGCATTTCGCTCAATATAAGCATGAACAACCATCATTGTACGTTTCCTAGAAGTACAATATATCCATAATAGATGTTTTTTTTTGTTAGATGGCATAAATTGCAATGTGTCCGTAAACCCACCAAAACATATCCAATTCGTTACTAGTTCAGCACGCCGGTGTTCGCTGAATGGTGGTAACTGGTTGTTGTAATTACTGGCGACACGTCACAGTACTCGAATTGTAAATGTTGTGGGTTTACTCTCCAACACACCGGTGTGCTGAACTAGTAACGAATTGGCACGTTTGTTTACGTGACAAACCTTACTAGGTGGCTGTTTCGTGTGGTGGCGGGTTTAACGACACATTTATAATTACGCGATGTAACCCAACAAAACCTCTGCTCTGGATATTGGATGGGGCAATGCGTACGAATGACCCTCCCAAACCCCACTGGACATGTTACCCACTCCCCATTGAAATAACATCACTCGCACTGCTAATTTTTGACTTGTGTCAGGTGGTGGTGGTGGTGGCGAGTTGAACGACACATTTATATTTACACGATCTAACCCAACAAAACCTCTGCTATGGATAATATTGGTCGCGAAAACCTACTCTTTGTTAAACTAAGTAGAATATTGATTTGAAGCTTTCGTGACTGCAGGAATCCATACTCTTTGGTTCTTTCGGTAAAGTCACGTAGGTATAAAATAAAAAAATAAGTGATTTATTTTTTTAATAAAAAAAATAAGTGATTTATTTTATACCTCCGTGACTTTACCGAAAGAACCAAAGATTAAGTACAATATGTTTTGTTGTCGAACCTTTTAAATATGAAAACAATATCGTGCTATACACACACAACACAGTTTTTTAAACAAGAGTCCATGAAAAAACAACCGTTTATCTCCATGTGCAATGAAATGTAAGTAACCAACGAGGCAGCAGTGGTAGGGGAGGGGACATATATAACAAGTGTTCCTCATTTCATGGCGAGAGACCCTAAATTAAACCTAAAATATGTTTAGGAGGTAGGTATCCTACCTAAAACAAATCGGGATACAAGATGAACGTTGGGAGGATTTTTGATTAATTGGAACCCTTTCTGTTACAAATGAAACATTTGTAACGAGCAGTTTTCTCTTATCCGCTTAGAGTAAATATATTTAGAGGCACGGGAAATCACAGATGGGAAGGCATCCAGAACGGCACCAACAATTGCCTAAGCTCTGTGGTCCTATATTTGGCTTTTCGTCTTACCCCTTATAACTGAGGTTTCGAAAGTCCTGAAAGGCTATGGAACAATTGGTTCCGAGACCCGTGGAGAACTGTCAAATTTCAAAAGGATTTACGGCCACCATGTAGTTAAACATTGGGTTATTTGTGCAAATGAAGCAATTGGCGGAACCCCGGGGTCCTATCACTGTCCCGGGGTGGGAAAACCCGCGTAGCGACACGAGTCTTGTTGCCTTACCGACAACAAAACTAGTGGTCAATCGATTGGCCTCGTCGAGAGCTACTCGGGGACACTAAGTTTCGTAAAAAGTTGAAAAATTACATAAACACGTTCAATTCACTGCCTAGGGGGGGCGGCGGGCTCGCCTTGGCAAAGAAGCTGAGGGTCGACGGCTGACTGGAGGGCGACTGCGGCGGACGCCCCCCGGGGCTTGCGTTTGGCCCGTGGGGTGGCGCCCATCGTGTCGATCGCCGCCTGCTGCTGCTGCTGCTGGCGCTTGTTGTTGGCGCGAGTCTGGGCGGGCGGCGCGTTGCTGTCGGGATCACGTAGTGGGCGGACTGAAGAAAAATAATAATTATTATTGACCTGATTTTTGCGGGACCCCGGGGTCCCGCCAAAATGATTCAAATACCAATCACATCTGCAGCAGTTTCGCGGACCGCTTCCCATACCGTGGCTTTGCGGAGCGCAGGTAGAGAAGCGCTGCCATGGACCCTGCTCGCAAACCTGCACCCGTGGTGCACCGTGGGAAGAGGAGCGGGAGTCCACGATGCGCTTTCCTTCCATACGGCTGATGTTGATGCACAGCGATAATTACAATGTGACACTCAGGCTGGTCAAGCCAGACAACCACGTCACGAGCAGCGGAGAGTACCGCTGTGACGTCTCCTTCGTATTTGTGGATGTATTCATGCGCGGGAAAAAAAAAGAAACAAAAACGAACCTGAGATGCAAGAGAGAAGAGAAAGAATGGAAAATTGAGAGGAAAAGGATGGAAAGGGAATGGAAAAAAAAACACATGAGCGAAGGGGTCAGGAGTGATGAGGATATGGACGAGGCTACATAAGGGCCTCGACGGTGCTGCACGGAGCAGCGTCTGTTTTCTCAGCGGGCAGCGGGGAGGTGATTCAGAGTCGGGGTGGCCACACGGAAGTCACGTGGTTTGCGGGAGGCTTGATCTGCTTTACGTTTATCGATTTGGTCCAGTGGACTCCTGCGGAGTGTTTTGCTGGGACTTTAGTTTACGTAAAATTAAATATATAAATGCATAATTATTATCAAATGATCAAGAAAAAGCATATCATTGCGATTGAAACGATCTGCAATTGTTCTGGGTGTTTATACGTTCACCTGCAGCCCTTTCATCAAACCACTGCTGGATGACCATGCTCAGTTATTTAACCATACTTCACCATGCTGGCTCGTGCGGGTTGGAGGAGGTGGGTAGAATGGACACGTGGACATATATGTCCTCTACACCAATGTATGTTGCCACGTTGCCAAATGCTGCCCATCACGTAACCCTGCAGCCTACAGCACCTGCCATACATGGCAGTCACCTGTCCAACCACAAAGCAGGCTCAACGCTGGTTAGATTTCTAAATCTAGCGAGATCGGGCCCATTTAGATTGTAGACATACGTGTGATTTAGTGGACCCATTTGTTTTAGTGAACCCGTGTTGATGGTGCTCATGTGTACAGCTAAAAAAAACCAAAACATCCCATGACCAGTATACATTAACCCAATCAGTCACCGCGTCGAATAAACACGGCACCGTTACTCCGCCGCCTTTGTAATTCCACGTGTAATGTGCAAGGTACCTCCTGCTCATGCACATCTGTCCCCCACTCTGCTTAGCGTGCTTTTTTTAATGTTTTGACAAAACTGGAGCTTCGTGTTCATTAGTGCGTCGCACGTCTTTTTCCTGAC